TGGATAATAAAAGCTGCAGACAAGAGGCCGTTCTCAAGAACCTCGGCTGCGCTTCGTTTGTAGCGGTGTTGTTGGTCTGATTGTACTGCACAGTAGGTAGCCTGTTGAACTCCTTCTTCGACATCTTCCACGGTGCTTCGTATATGTGTCCGCTCTCTCTCGAAGAGACGAAAAAATAAACAAAAGAATAGCTTATATTGTACGATGGTATCAAAAGTTCGGTTCTGTCCTTGTAAAACGACACCCTTAACAAAGTAAACAAAACACTGCGTGGCAGTCGAGAATATCTAAAAACGCCCAGTATGTGTTTTCTGTCCAAAAAGAGATGTCCAAGAAGGTACCCAGAAAAGAACAGCAAACTAAACAAAAGAAAAGGCCATCGTCGCAGCTGTGTGTAAATCAAGCCAGTATGGGAATAAGCCGCTATCGCACGAGCTTCTCAATCCGCACCAGCAGCTTACCCTCTGTCGGGTTGCCGCGGGCATCCATCAGGCTGACGAAGCGGTAGCCCGTCCGGAGCCGATCAAGACGGATACAGGTCCAGCCGGCCAGTGTGTCGTTTCGTCCGAGAGCGGCTAGCTTGGCACGTTCTTGTGTATTTTTCGACCCCTCGTCCTCGACACAGAACCTAGAACGCAGTTGTTAGCAGATGTTGACTCACCTCACAAGAACTGGTTACACATGAGGTTGTGGGGGGCGCGATACGTACGATACAAAGCTCAGCGACTCGACGATGCCTGTAATATTTCGGAAGCGTAGCGTCTCGCCCTGGACGCCCCAATCCGGGTGGTCGGTCTCACCGGGCGACGTCTTCTGCTTGAGAACAGCCTCAGGGAGTTGCACCTGTGACGCGGCCAGCTTGAGTGCCGCGGCCGTGGCCGGCGACCCTGTTGCTGTTGTCGCCGCCTGGGACGCGCTCACAGCCGTGGCGACGGATGAGGCGCGTCTTGTGATGGGCATCGGCGGCGTTGACGAGTGCGACAGTGTGTGCGACGTAGCCGTCCCACCTGTCTCCGGACAGCGCTCCTCGTTGTGCTCCACATTCAGCTCACACTTGACTACTGGCTGGAAGTGTGCATGCCCACGTCCCGTGACCACACCGGCTGTGGACGATGTTTTGTTGGCCACGCCGCCAAGCTTTTTTTTCTGCTTCCTCTGGAATGCCGGCGGCAAAGGCAGATGCTGACCGGCGTAGATGGTGATGTAGAGGTCAATGGTCTGGACTGGCTCGGCAGTGCCAACAGGGCAGATCTTGGATCTCAAGCCGATATTTGGGTTCGGACTCGACATTGGTGTTTTTGTCGTCCGTGGGGTCATATTGACAGGCGTTGCGATGGCACTTTCACCAGCGACGCTGCTAGCAGCAGTGCCCGTAGCTGTGGGCGCGCCGCGGTAACCGGGCGGCTTCAGGACCCAGTCGTTGGACCCTTCGAACATGCCGTGATTCAACATCATCGCCTTGTCCAATGTTTGCCAGTTGAGAGCCACCATTTGCACGCCACGACGCCAGCAGCAAGCCGGATCAGGATTGGAGCTTGTGACATGCTTCGTCGCGTTCGGATAGGCCCGCATCATGTACTTCTTGTTGTGCAAGAATAGGTCTTCGTGGTTCTTGAGGTGCAGTGCTTGGATGGTCGTTTCGCTGAGGCTGAAGATGTGCGACGGCAGCTTTGCATCCCGATTGGAGAAGGAGTGGTAGTGGCGGCTTTCTGTATAAACAGCGAGGCTGCCCAGTTCCTCAGTGATGCGAGAGTTTTTGGTGGCGGCCACGTTAACATTTGTCGATGACACGTCGTCCTCGGAACCTGACGTGCCACCGCTGTTATCCGTTGTAGTCATGACCGTCAGTGATGCGCCGAGGCCGAGCCCCTGCAAGTTGGCTGTGTTGTTTGTTCCAGCCGATGTCCATTGTGGTGTGTAAGGTTTCTTCACTTTGACGAGGATCTTATTCTGAAGCTCACCCAGTGTGGGGAGCCGCAGGCGAGGATCGGTCCCTTCCAGGGCCTGGTCTAGAAGGAACTCGCCCCATTCCTCTTTCATGATTTTAACCATTTTTCTCTGCTGCACGGCGTTTGTGTGTACCTCGAGGCTCACGATGACGGGCAGCGTGTTGGTTCGAAAGGCGGTGTGGCGAACAGCCCTGCACACGTCACGGAAAGGAACGTGCGTTCCCAGCGTCCAGTCGTTGTAGAGGATGTTGTGCGCGTGCATGACAACAGGCTCGTCGTCGCCGGTCGCTTCAATGTTGTCTGGGACCTCTGCCGGTATGGCAATCTCGGTGTCGGGTGCTGTAACCGAAATCGTGGCAATGGTGGGCTCAGACGGATCCTGTGACGTCTGTGGTGTTTCCGAACCGTCTCCAGCCGACGAGGCATCATGCGTCTCGTTACCCTCATCGTCCCCGTCAATAGCCTCCTCCGGGACAAGCGTGCTGTCACGTTCCTTGAGCTTGGCCAGCGCATCCCGTTCTAGGGCGTTGGAGCATGGGGGTCCACCATCAACGTCGGCATTTTCGATATGGGTGGGCGCAGTGATGCTCAGCTGGCTGAAACTCGACGCACGGCTTCGCGAGATTTTCGTCGCGAGCAAATTTGAGATGACCTCGAAGCTTTCGTGTATAGACGTGGCCACAGAGCTCGACGAAAGATGACGGCGGTGACTTGACGGCTTGCTGGCGTTCTTACGGCCGGTGGTCTGTCGGCTGGCTTTTGTCGGCGGGTTCCAGACGTCAATCTCAATACAACGGCAGTTGTTTTCAAGGACCTATCAACACCGTTAGTAATGGATTCGTTCTATTGTGAAGCTGTGGAGGTTGTAAAGGCAAAAACGGTGGTCTCTTGTTAACCTTTTGATACTCGCCGACAGACGCCTCAGACGAAAGCTGGTTGCCGACCAGATACGTGTTGTGGCTGCTGCTGATAAAGTAGTGCGAGATGGGAAACGATAGATCTAACACCTCGGCCACGTGCGGTGGCCGCGCAGCGGCCCAGCCATACTGGTAGCACCAGACCTCGAGGAACTCTTCAAACTTGTACCGTTCTTTCTCTAGAGGCACAGCCAACGTTTCACCCTGTGTGTCCTCAAAGAAGCGGGCCAGCTGCCGTCGCGAGAGCGACGGGGAAGACACAAAGACGGCTGGGAGGGCTTTGTAAAACGTCGGCGAGCGACCGCAAAGCTCGCGGAAGATGTGTTCGAGTCGCGCGAGGGTCGTATCGCCGAGAGAAATAACCGGGCTGTTTGGATAGGCCTCCGTTGCGTCGGCGAGGTCTTTGGTCGTCACGACCAGCCGCCGTCTATGGTGGCCATTGTGGGTGGGCGATATGAGGGTGGTTGTGTCGACGAGCAGGCGCAGGACATTTCGGCCGCCAGGCCGGTTGTCAGCTACGGGTGCTTTGGCAGACGAGCGACGGCTGCGCTGCCGAATCTGACAAGAGAAAAACATGTTAGTGTAAAAAGAATGCAGGAGACGTTTTTTGTTTGGGGGCCAGTCACGAACAGAGAAGCACATCGCAGCCGAGTATGAGCCCGAGCCCCTAGGGCCGGCGCGGGCGTGGGAGCGCTGTCAATTCCGAGCCGGGCCGCTGTGCCCAAGCAAAAGAAAACAAAGCAAGGTCGAACGACGGTTGATCGGTGTGAGTTTCACAGCCGCGACGCCTTATGTTGGGGTTTGTTGCGTTTTGCCGGGCCTCTGGATCGGGTGCGTGCTTGGTAATCCGTGCAGCAAATCGCAGGCAATTCGGCGAGGAAAAAGTCGTGAAGGCCGTCGAGAGTTGGTACGTGTTGTCGTTTGCGTATAGATGGACAAGGAGGGTGTTTGTCGAGTGCAAACGATGCTGACAAGTTTGTTGTGAACAGATGGAAAGGCAGGGGAAGAAAAACGTCGCGAGATGAAGAACAGGAAAGATAGCAGGCCAAAGAATGTGGAGTAGGAGCGATGGAACTCGAAGACGATTGCTCAAAGGAGGGAAAGCTAAATGGAAGGAAGGAACGAATCAGAGTAGCTGGTCGCGCTTTCTACCTTTCTGCTTGTCTTTGGCTTTTATTTCATCCCTCGTGCCTTCCGTTATTTTTGCTTCATCAGCAAGAGTTCGTTAGGGCTGGATCTGGTCTTGCATCGTCTTGCTCACAGCCTCGACGCCTCGCATGCATGGACCGAAACAATGGACCCAATAGATTGAGAGCAGCCCTACGCTCGGTCGCGGAGGGCAAATAGGGGAGCGCGTGGATAGCCACCGAACAGCAACGTAGTTCTGGAGACGCCCTAGAAAGCACCTTATTGGCAATGGCCTGGGAGGGAAAGTGCGAACGAGGAGCACGGCTGCGCGTCTTGTGAGGAGGTAGAAAACTGGCAGGCGTTAGAGCCTCAATAGTTGCAGATCCACGCCGAAAATGGAAGGCACGGCCGGCGTGCCCAGAAGGCTGCGCCTCACCAGCTGCCTGTCTGCCGCAAAAAAATAAAACGGAAAATGAGGGCGACGGCAAACAACAAAAGAAAAATATATTCCGTAAATGAGTAAAAATAACGAGAACGAATGAAATAAAAGCGATGCTTTACCAATGGTCGGTCGGTAGCCATTTGTGACAATGAAATCGTGGCGATGAGGCTCTCGGGGCATTTCATTTGTTTTGACAGGTGCGATGGGCCAATGACGTAGGGCGCCTGCTATGGATTCAAATTTGGCAGCCCATTTGATGGCAGCCCGTTTGATAGCAAACCGCTTCAGTGCGCTAAGCTTTCGCTGTCAAGGCAGTTGGCGGCGGCCAGGGCCGCATAACGCCCGCCAACCTAATTAGCACTATTGCAGTTCTAGCCTTTCTATTCTGCTCTTGAATAGGTAGCTTAGTACCTCTGGGGATTAGTAATTGCCAGAACGACAAGTCATGCGAACCGCGTCTCGGTTGCCTTGAGACAACCACCCCGGTCTGCGCAAGGCGTTCACGGCTTCGGGCGCTCACACTGCAACGACCACATTTTATATTGCCACCTATTCATTGATGCAATGTCGAAGTCATCCGAGGAGAGCGAGGCCGAAGTGCGGTCGTGGGGCTTTGCCCACGTCTTTACTTGGACGGATGGACCGTGAGTGGGTTGCCCTGCAAATATCTCCCATCCACTGAGCCTCGTCCAGGGACTGACCGAACATCTAGAAACTCCTACTACCGGCCGCACAAGCACGCCGGCCCCACCACACATCTCATCCTACGCGGCCAGTTGACAATTGCCTATCCAGACGCCCCTGGTGCCGCAGCAAAGACCACTCTTGGAGTCGGTGATCGATGGGATGTGCCTGCGGGCAGGAGCCACGAAGTCTGGGTTGGGCCGGAAGGCTGCACATATGTCATTGGCGAATAGATGTGCCAGGAGGCAGCAATGACTGCTACGACAGGAATGCCGTCTGTTTGAATGCAGGCACAGTTTTTTGTATTAGCAGTCACGTCGGGGAGGAGTCGAGCTAAAGTGTTTCGGGGCTATGGTCGGTCTACACAGCCTTCCTTGTACTTCTTACCCATATATTGTCCGCGTACGACATGACTGAGAGCGAGAAGCTGTTCAAACAGCGTGGGAGGGCCTCAACTTATCTCGGACATGCCACAGCATTGGACAGCCTGGATTTGAATTGACGGCAGCACATTAACTGGTTGAGATGCCGACGGGCACGGCGACTATGAATAGATGTCTCACATTATGATCTCATAATCGCAAGACAGGTCGTCCACCGACTGTGCATAATTGATTACGGTATGAAGCGCTTATCTATTGACCTCCAGTTCTGGATTGTCTGTATTTGCTATCCCCGGGTTGAAAGAAAAGAATAACGTGACGGTATCCGGAAGCAGGTACGTCTTGCATCCGCTACCAGACATCTGCTGTCCCTATTCTGGAGATGTGCGATTTCGCAGCATGAGATTTGCTCTGGGCACAGTCTACCCGGCTATCAGATGCAATGAGGCAATGTGAACGGCCTCAATTGTTGATTAGGCCGTATCATGTTCTAGTTTATTCTCTCACTTTTTGCATTTTTCGTCAAGACACAGGGGTGGTGTAAGGGAGAAGAAAACGGGGTTGAAAATGGTGGTTGAGGCGCGAAGGATGATAAAACGACGGGAAGCAAGTTCAGACGAAGTCAAACAACAAAAAACATGTTTGGCGTCGTTGCTTTTATTTATTTTGACCCATTACAAGCAAATTTCCAGCTCCGTAAAACGAGCCTTGAAGATGATTGTCGTTCCTCTTGCAACGAAGCTGCCGAGAACAGTAAGCTCTGAGTAGGGAAACCCATGGATACGACGGCGTATCCATCTGCAAACCGAGCATCAATCTAACTCAAAATCAACATAATTCTACACAAGGGGAACGGGTCTTGTTGCATCCGGGGGCGGGGAAGAGGATCAAGACCGGACCGCGTGGTTTGAGTGGCAGACAAAACTGTCCCCCTAATTGTGAGTCCGAAACAAGAAACGCATAAAACTGGCAAAGGCGTCGCAGAAGTCCCCTTTCGGCAAAAATCGAGAGACGATTTGGTCCGCGCAGGACAATCTGGCGAATGCGCTCCGTGCAATCCCTGCCCAGAAGGCTGGAGGGGATTGCGTTTCAATCGGCAAAAGTCGACGCCGCGTGACGACTTCTCTTGTTTGAGCCCTCTTATACAGTCTGCCAATGAAGATCTAAATAGTAACGTGCATCAATTACGATCGTGCGTCGTAATCATTACCCCCCATCCAGACGGAACAGTGTCTGCTTGATACATATTGTGACCGCTGACCACAACTCCAACTGTGGTGTCTCCGGCCACTTGATCTGTGGTGTTTCCGAGGCGTCAGACGAATTGCAGCTAATGTCCTTTTCATGCCCGTCAGCCGGGGCTTGTGTACACCTACAGTATGTTGTACGTCAAGTGTGACCAGAGTAGAGAGTATAGAAATGGTTACATGGCACATATTCGTGAAGCTCCGAATGCACCAGTGTCACGATGCACTATCTTTGCTTCTGTTATTTTTGGAGTCTACACATGCATTTGTTCATCCCGCTTTATTTTGATGTCTCAGCCTTGGCAGAGTTCATGCTTTCGGAATGTAACTTTGATCGACCGATCGGAATTCATAAAAGACAAATGCACCTTAAGGAGTAGATACAAGATCAAATTTCAGTGTGGTTGAGAGCTGCAAACAAAACATTCGACTGCAGTGTCAACTAAGCTGATCAGCATATGGTGCGTTACACGATTGTCTTTGATTTTATTTGCTTCTGCTGAATCACCCTCGCGTCCTACTTGATCTTGACTCATAAAGCATGGGACGGCCGTCTACGACATACATTGTCTCTGAGTGTACCATGGAACTTTGGTGGCTCCTGCAAGCCCTTTTCCTGCTGAGCGCCTACGTTGCACGAAGTACTTTTTATTGGACCAAGCAAATTTATGGAGCAAAGCAAGACAATCCACGGAAATCCTCCTTCATTCCTGGTTTATTTCATATCGCATCAAGACAAAAGCGAGACGGAAAAGGTCCAGCGCTGACCATTCTGGTTGTGCATCCCGTAGGAATATGAGAAATTGCCAGCTTACTCTGGGCAATTTGCTGCTCTGCTGCATGGATGTTGGATCCTACGCCCTGATCGAGACGGCAACCCAATGCCAGCATCGCTCCCGCCAATGACTGGTTGGGCTTTTTGCATTGGGACTCAGAAACGCATCCAGCACATCCACGGAGGAAATGGACTTCTGCTCTCTCTCTGGGCGGTGGTGGTCTCTGAAGGTCCTTCAACCTTCTCCTGAGAACATCCACGCAAGGATTCTTTGATGTCTGCTTGGATACCGCTTTCGAATGAGAAATATAGATCTTTGAACGGCGACCATCCCGATACCACGCTACAGAGACGCTACCAGTGAGGAAGCTGGCTCAACGGCAATAGGGCGCACGCTCGCGCGTTTGCGGGAGAGGGAACACAGGGCTGAGGACGTAAGAATTCTCCGTACAAGGAACGGGGCAGGCCTTCGATACTTTATTTTCTGCACTTTATGTCACAGACGTGGACGCACCTTACCCACAAGTGATACGAATAATCCAGCGTCGTATCACATCAGCACCCTCATTTCATTAACGCGAAGGATGCAATACTGTTTTTAGAAATTTGTTTGCTGGGAGCTTTGTGTTCTGTAGGATTGGCCTATTTCGCTGACCGCTCTACACATAAAGTACTACTTCGTATGTACGAGTAAGTCCACCTGCCAGGACATCGACCGCTGTCCGCCTGTCCCATTTCTTCTCCGCTCGTAGTTCTTCGCCGGGACCGACAGGGCAGATTAAAATGCCGTAGGAGCCAAGGCTGGCCGAATGGACCCTGAGGCTAGTTTCGTTGTTCGTATTGTACGAATTATGGAGTTCGTTTTCTTCTGCTCCATCTGCTCACACCATCTCCATATTTCCCTTTTGTGTCATTTTTACCGTATTTTCCGTACCCCGTACTCCGTACTCTCCACGTCAGCCGCCTTTTCCTTCTTCTTTATTTCGGAAAGCGTAAGAATTGGGTACGATGTGCGGTAATGCGTGAGAGCTGCAGCTCAAATGAGCCCTCTCATCCTGCAATGGCGAATATGGTCTAGTACTCCTTTTTTTCGTTGCTTCCTTACACCTTAGCGTTGCTCTCAAGCTTACGCCGCTCTCATACGCTCCTGCCTCCTGTCCAGCCAAAAACTAAAGAGAAAGCCAATCGTTGACGGCCACCATTTGAAGGTCTGAAACGCGTCCGTCCAGCCGCCCCAAACGGCCGTGGCGGTCTGGCCACTCATTTTGCCGCTTCCTTTCTTGCTTGATTCGTGACTTTGCGATCGGTATTCCTGGCGAGCCGTTGCGGAGCAGTTTTTCTTTTGTCTCCTAAACGGCGCCGCGCAGGACGTGGCCAGCATGGACGGTGTTGTTTGCTCCTTCCTCGCCTTGGACGCTGGAGTGTGCTGTTGCTCCTTCCTGCTGTGCTTGCGATTCGACGTCCACAAATCTGGCAGGAACGAAAGCCAAGCACAGAAAAGATGCAAGATGCGTCGTTCTCCGTACTTCGTACGTCTTTCCCTCCTCAAACAGGTGCGGAGTCTTTAAATGAAACTGCATTGCATTCCAGCAGATCGAGAAAGTGCGACAGGGGTGTCGCTCTTGCCACGCACCATCAATCAAACGCCCCTGCGTCCCTTCCTTTTGCGCGCGCACTGTACTTTCGCAATATGGGCAATATTTGCAGGAAGGAGCGTGCAGAGCCGCGTTCCCCATAATGCAGTCGATACGGGGGAACAGAAAGACAACAAAGCATCCAATCAACAAAACCTCAACAAATCCTACTGAGTACTTCCACCCAGTCCTCTCACCAACGCAACGCCAGGGGTCGTCTACCGCTGTAGCCCGTCTAGGCATAGTGGCCAAGGCCGCACCCGCACCCCCTTCTTTGCCTTTCACACGCGCCTCGTCTACTGGCCCAAGTCAATTAATGGGAATGGGCTTGTCCACCAAGTAGACCAGGGGTGAACAGCTCCCGTGGAGACTGGCAGTGAGGTGAGCGGTGGACGAAGGCCTTGAGATGTAGGCCGGAACTGGGTTGCATGACAGCTGCAACCTCTTCGAGGTCAAAACACGACTCAATGGCTGATGCAGATTCATCAGCAGAGCAACACCACCCGCATCCACCAACGGACTTACATCGACCCAAATCCGGCCTGCTCTGTTCACCCGACTCTGCCATAGGCGCCAACGTCTGCTTTTGGTCGCCCTGCTCTGGCTTCCTGCCTTCCTTTGGTACGACCGTGTCCAGTCAATCCACGGGCGGGTAGCAACGCTGTGGCCCCAAGCTCGTTCTCGGTAAGTGCTGACAGGGTCTCATGTCTCTCCTCCTTCGACCGCTTGCTTTCACCTCCAGTACGCTCGCCGTTGTCCCCAATAAACCACTCATCCTACTCAGTATGTTGTGCTGTCATACATGATTGCTGTCTAACTTGATCATAGGAAGCCCCTGTCTCTTCGGTCCTCGCATCTCATCACCTGCAACTTCTTTTTTTTTTTTGTCATTCTTTGCCTCGTACCCTCCGCTTTGTCTGTGGGCTCCATCTTGGCATATGTTAATACGACATAATTGCACGCCCCTCCGTCCGCTTGCTTTCTCTCCACTTCGACTTCAGCCACCAGTCGTGATCGACGGCGAGCCTGTTTCCTTGTTCTTCAGATCTGTTTTCTTTTCTCGCCTCACTCCCCTCCTTCGCTCCTCTCTCTCTCCTCTTCTCCCTTTGTTCTTTGTTCTTCTCTGCGTGCCCCCCGTATCAAAGGGCTCTTCTAACAGCTCGTCACTTTGACGGGTGTTGAGCAAGGAAGTCTCGACTTCGACAAACCGGGCCCTTTTCCCGACAGGTCCTCTCCTAGATGCTCTCCTCGCCTCCTTTTCTTCTCCTTGTTACTTGGACTTTCGTCTCATAGTTGCTTGCCCGGGATCGGTGCTTGTCTCTCCGCGTCACGACGTTTTTCGTCCTCTTATTTTACGTCTACACCATCGACGCCTGAATTCAAGTGTCTTTTCTTGCCCATTGAGCCTGCTTTATATAGAGGACACTCCCAGCTCTTCCTTCCATCCGGTCCTCCGCCAATCTTGCTCTTGATCCTAACCAGCATCAATATTCCTGCATTGAAGCATATATAGCCTCCAGAAACGATCTACATACGTCCCCCGTTCTAGCATCGGCCACCTTCTCTTTTCGTGCCTCTCGCCACGCAATGCCAGCTTCTACTTAACATTTTTCCGGCCTCAACACGCTTCTCCAGTTCCTCTCGACCTGCCGCCTCTCCACTGCCAGCTATTTACATGAAGCCGCCCATTGCATCCACTGCTTGTGTAGCGGCTGCGCAGGTATAGAGCATAGCTCTGTATGCTGCCCTGCGGTTCGGTTTGACGGCATGGGAGTTTCAATGGACCGCATTGTCAACCTGAGCCGTCGTTCTTGTCTAGAACCCACTACCGGACGGGAGAACCAACATTTGTGACCATACCCTCTCATCCTCCTCTGTTCCGGCTGTTTGCGCCTCGTGCGCGGCTTCTCCCTCGAACCTCGCCTCTCATGCCTTGTGATCGTCTAGCCGTCTTTCAATCTCAAGGGTTCCCGTTTCTGCTTTCTTCCCTTTGAAGCCGAGATGGGGAACCAGTCATCATCCGAGGCCTACGGGGAGCCTCTTTCTGTCCCGCCGCCGCCGCATGAAGACCGTCCTCTTCCACCACTCCCTCCTCTCTCAAACCACGCCTCTCGCACCTCGCACATCTCTCATTACTCCCACGCCTCCGCCTCTACCTCATTATCTGCGTCTGCTGCTCTCTCTGCTTCTGCAGCTCCTTCTGACTCTGCTCAAAGGTTGTCCAAACCCCGGATCCGTTCGACAGCTGCCCTGTTAAAGAGCTCGGATGTTGCTGCAAAGGGCCCAGGCTCTGGCCTGAGACGCTTGTCAACCGCTGGAATAGCTCATCTCGTCACCTCATCCTTCTCCTCTCCCAATACGCCCACATCGTCATCCTTCGCCACCCGTCGCCGCTCTTCCTCTAAATCGCGGCCACTCCCTCTCCCACCACCCTCTCTCCTCCCACCGTCACCAGGAGCGCAGAGTCCGACCGTCTTCACGTTCGAAGAAGCTGTCGCGGCTGCCTCTAATCAGCGGGACTCTTTTGCTTGGCACCCACCGGTTTCATCAGTCTACCCATCTCCCAGCCTTGATCTCGAGCTCCTCCAAGAACAACAAGCCCGCCAGCTCGCGTTTGAGTTCCGTCAACAGCAGAACCTGCTTGAGTTCCACCAGTGGCAGCGGGAAACGAAGAAGCTACTGCGAGAGCGTGAGCGGCGGCGCTTCACCAGCTACGAGTTTGGTTTTTATGACCAAGCCGTCACCGACACTGAGCTCGACGACGAAGACGACAAACTCCTTGAAAGGGGGCGCCAGCAGCGACAACAACTGAAGCAGAAGCAAAAGCGAAAGGAACGGTCAAGGCGATCTTCCGTTTCTTCCTTCTTTCGGTCACGGTCCTCGCAACGGTCTAGCCTGGACCTAAATCGACCGGACGACCGTGAATACCGTGATTTTCGTGACTACCAACGGCGAAACAGCATCGGTTCCGTGTACCGCGGCACTGGCGACCGAGCTGCGTGGGATATCGGCTCCATGACGCACGACCAAGTCTTAGGCCAGTACTATGGTGCATCGCTTTCCGAGAAGTGCGTGGCTGCTCCCTCTCTCCCTCCCACTTTGTTTTCCCCTCTAACATGCACCCAGTTGGCCACCACAGGCCGGTTCTCGCACCTCTTGGAACTACGACATGTCGTCATATGCGGCCAAGCGACTGCTCCATATGGTCGACGACAACCCTATGGATAACAGGCTCGAGCAAGCGTCAGTAGCATCAGAGAGCAGGTATTCCATGGTGTCCGAAGTGACTTGGAAGAGCTCCCACCCTGTCCGCTCCGAAAGCCCAACACTCGCCAGGGCCAACTCGGATCTTTCCCTCTACGCCCCTGTCCGGAGAACATCGATCGTTCAGATCCCTGGCGTGGCCACGCGTAGAAACAGTACGAGCAGCTTTACGAGCGTTGGTGGCGCATCGATGCGACCTGTGTTCCGCCACAGCCATCCTGCCACAACCCCAAGTCTTTCCCGACGTACATCATTCGAGTCAACCGGTAGTCGCATCATGTCGATGCCGCCACCAGAGCTTCAAAGACTTGAACTGAGTGCCGACAACACCGCTAGATCAACGGCCCGTGTATCAACACCGCCCGATGGCGAGTACAACACCATTGGAACTTTCAAACTGGGCTCGTTACGTATCACGAACGGAGCTGAGAGCCCCATGTCTTCGCCCGAAACAAAAAGGGCGCGGAGAGAAAAGGAACAGGCGGCCCAAGACGAGGCGTCGGCACGCAGCCAGGCCCACGCCGCAGTGGAACGAACACGAGCCTTGGCTGCTCTATCGGCGAATAGTGACACAAATTCCAATGCCGTCGTTACCGTTACAAACGCATCGTCGGCAGCCGAGAAAAGCGATGGCGGTCGCATAATTAGTCCCCTCTCGCCGGCCCTCTTCCAACCCCCCGCTGAGCTCTTTGCCGGAAACGTGCCAAAACCTGTCGTCATTCACGAGCTGCCCGCTCGCGAGCCTGTCGTCTCTCCTACTGAGCTTCCCCAAATTGAGGTCTTGCAAGACATCTTTGCCGATTTCGAATTCAGCTCGTTTTCGTTTGAAGACACGGTTCCTGCCACCTCGGTTGAAACGCCGTCCGAGCTACCAACTCTCGTACAAGCAACGCTGCAGACAACATCCAAAGCAACCGCCCAGGACGATCTACTCTTCGATGAAGATGATCACAGCACCTCCGGCTACGCCGATGCAGAGGTTCTCGATGTCCGTCTCGATCCGAATGCAAAAGCTGCGGCCAGCCGTGGCAAGTCTGAGGCTGTGACAGCTCGGAAGAGCGCCCACAGTATGCAGAGCGTCAGCCGATCCGACAGTGGCTTTGTTTCAAGCCCAACATCCGAGTCATCTCGCAAGCCGCTCAGCAAAGCCGACTCTGGCTACAGCTCCAACGTATCTCTGCGGTCGTTCAAGCAGGCTGCGGCAAAGCTTATCAATTCTGGTTCCAAGGCGGTCAACCGACTCTCTTCTGATAAAGATGCGAACGCACAAGGTGCCGAGAGGCAGTCATTCATCATTGACGAGCTGCAACTTCCAAGCCCCACCATCAACAGCCCTGACATGGAATTCCGGTCAATGTCTCCGGCCACCAATATGCAGATCAAGAGGAAACCAGTTCCGGTAAGCGCGGTCCCGCCTCCGCCACCGCAAAGGGATGCTCCTCTACCTCCAGCCCCGCTGCCAAAGCCACAGGCTATGTCTCCAGATAATATGTCCAGAGATGCGCTTCCTCTCTCGCCTAACAGCATTTCGTTGACCGGTACCTCAACTCCTGCAACTTCAGAGTCGTCTGTCCCCGGTCTACAATGCGGCGCTCCGGCGATGAGCAAAAAACACCACGCGGCACCATTGCCACTCGACAACATCCCGCCCGTGCCTCGTTCCGGCAGCCAAGCGTCGCCCGCAAGAAGCCCAGTTCTCTTGACACCTGCCAGCGTTAAATCAGACGGCTCAATATCGGCTCACAGCATTGGCAGTGGCACTCAACGACCTAGCAAGCTACTTCGGTTCCTCAGCTTCGCTAACGCCTCGCCCAACGGCACCCCTGCCAACAAAGGTCCTCCGACTGTGAATGTGACACATATTGAAGAGGACGACGCAGCCAATATTCCTTCCGTTCCAAGCAATGTCAACGACAACTTGCGTGAGCAAACAGGCCTGTTTCCCATGACCAGCAAACGATTGGCTTTGAAGACACAGATGAGCAGGGATACACTCAAGACCATCTTCAGTGTTGGCAGTCTCGAGACACGGAGCAGCAGTGACCTTTTTTCCAAGGCGAAGGATAGCATGCCAAGCGACTCGCCCGTCACATCAAATCGCCGGAATACATTCCAAGGCCCGTCCTCGCTCGTTTCTGCGGCGGCTGCTGCCGTCAATCCTCTGAAAGCCGTCACTAAACGCAAATCCCGCCTTACCATGACAGTGGACTTTACCGACGAGTTCGAAGAAGCTCTTCATGCCGAGGAAGCTCAGGAGCACCGAGACCGCTCTTCCAACACGGCCACCCCCGAACCATTGCAAGAAAGCAAAGTTAAAACAAGCCGGCGATCTTGGCTTCGCTGGAGCAGAGAAGGGGACCGACGGACGCCTAGTCCGGGAAAACCCTCGGATGACGATGCTTCCGACCAGGCCGCTGATCAAGAACAAGGAACGAATACAACCGATGAGTCTGCTTTTGGAGCAGGTCGCCTCCGCCGCACAGAGTCTCGATCGTCGTCGATCATTAGCAGGACCATGAGCCTTACTTCGCAGCTCGAGCGTTCTCTCAGCTTAAAGATCACGTTCCCCAAAATCTCGATGTCGCGCCCTTCGACGTCCGACCGTCCGGCTATACCGATTTCTGCATTTTCTACTGCGTTCAATAACAGCCAGGCGCTGTCTCCGAGTCTTCCAAGCCCGCTATTTGCAGGAGTCATGGAACAGCAACGGCGGGCTATGCCACCAGATACCTTTGCAGCCGCTTCGCCACCCGTGAGTGCCCGGATGCAACAAATCCGCCCGACTGTGCTTCGAGTCCCCCCTCCTCTACGTCCGCAGTCTGCATCACCAAGTGAAGCAGGATGTCGCCGCCCGTCGCGCCAGAGCAGCCAAGACAGCCTTTACAACTCGGCGTCCGCCCAGTATTACCGGGTGGCCAACCTCGCGTCTGCTACGGACTACAATGATACCAGCCACATTACCGGTACCATTGTTGCATCGCCACCGCCGCTCGATTCGCCATCGCACTCAAACTATCCCAACCTAGAGGCCCAATTCGGCCAAGACTATGGTAATGGTGTGGATCGCCACCGCCGTGGTTCTCTAGACAGCCTACCTCACGCACATCGGTCCGTTTCTCTTTCCGGAAACGACACGCACATGGCGTTTGTGGCAGCCGGAGGGGGCATGTTCAATCGGCACAGACGGAGTGACAGCCAGGACAGTGAGCCGCGTGTCGTCCGACATCGCGCAAGCTTCAACGGCTATAGCCTTGGCCCCAGCCAGTCCTGGAATGGGGACAATTACTCAATATCTCAATCAAACCGGCCTAGGCGGAACCCTCCGCAGATGTCAAACGGCTACACAGGCCAAGTGATGGACCCATTTGGTGGCGGCCATCGGCGGAGCGGCAGCGCAAGCAGCGGACCTATCGATTTCTACAAGATTCAACAGCAGCAAGCCTGGGACTATTACTACCAGCAGTACGCACGGCCTCCTCCTAATGTCGTACGAGGCTCGCATCATCGCAACAGGAGCATGGGCTCTCGCCACGGCCCAGTTTCCGGTCCTCAAGCACCCTATCGAATTCTCCACAGCTACAACTCGCCAGCATACCGTGGTGTGCCCATTTGGGGATAAGAAACCATCATTTCTGCTTTTCATTCTCTCTTTTCCTGTCTCCTTTTTTTTAAAAAAAAATTGTTTCCGATACAGTCTTTTCCGTGGTCGATCACTCTTTACCCATTTATCCATTTTATTCCTACGTTTTGATACCCTTCGAATGTGGCTTGCACCAAAACACCTCGAACAGCTCCTTCTTCAATGAATGCGCTGTTGACTCTTTTAGTTTGCGCAGGAGCTAAACGGTTTTCAGCATCATCCTATTACTTTCTTGATATTTCGAACGACACTCAAATTATCCGTCTTTTCGGATCTCGCGCTTTTTCTTTTGTCACTCGCTACCCACCTATTACGAACGAATACGGCCGGGTTGTATTTTTATCGGTATCTATGGTGGCACTCCGTTGCAAAGAACAGAAAGTTGGTGCGGCTTGTCGTACACGCTCATTACTTTGGCGCCCACGTTTTTGAATTTTTCTTTTTGTTGGCCCTATTTTGGATCTCTCAAGATTGCTTTATTTACTTTTGCGGGATAGATTTTTGAACGGATCCGATTGCTTTTTATATTTTGGATATTTTAGCATACAGCGAACAAAGGTTGCACATGGACGGGAGGATTTGAAATACTTGGAATAAAGCACACCAATTTGACAGACGCAAACATACCACGTCGACTTCAAAACCAACATGCCTATTTAACACTACCATCCTTTGGGCCAAAGTATGTCAAGTACGTTCGATGTACTTTGCTTCTTGTCTCACCCTGTCCAAATTATTAGTGATTATTGGCCAGCTCGTCTCAGCTAATTTGTTGCTCGTTAAGGTTCAAAACGCAAAATGGATCCTGCCCGCCGTCCCCCATCCACCAACAACACGAAACAGAAAATTACAATAAACGACCGACCGACCGACCGACCAATAAACTAGCTGACCACACGGTTCCTCTGATTGTATGCCACCGCAAAGCACAACGTTGAATTCGCTCAAATGACCACGGAGATGTGGTCATCCATGTACATGCCAATGTCGTCCATGAACAGACTGGCAATCATGGAGATGACGCCGAAGCCGATGCTGCTATAATACACGAACGGGTAGGCACCGGCGTACGCCTGCTGGCCGGCGGTTATGATCGAGTGATACAAGGCCGAATCGGGCCCGCCGATGCCCTCGAGACCGGCAATGACCTCCGTCTGGGACGTGGCCGTCAGCATAATGACCTGGCTAATCAAGGCCGTCACGTTGGTGACGCCCGTGGAGCCCGTGGGCGACGCGGCTGCGGCGCTCTGCAGGCCCTGGAGGACAGTGCCAATCAGCTCGGACTCGAGGCGCGGTACCAGCTCGTGCAAGAAGACGTTGTAGTAGACGCAGTAGCCGACCGCACCGCCCACGACGCGGACAGCCAGGGTTATGGCCGTGGCCGTGGCAATCAGGTCCTCGGGGCAGATAACCATGGCGACGAGTGATGCGGGAACGACGATACCGCCGACGCCGAGACCGGCAAGGACCAAGATGACATAGACGGCGGCAAGGTTGTCGAGCGTGGCGGCAGCCAGCGAGCCGCAGCCGGCCGTCATGACAACGCTGGCGCCAAAGAGCAGCCAGCGGTTGCCGCCGCGCCAGCGGGTCAGGATGGCGAGCGAGATGATGCAGCCGATGAGGACAGACAGGGCAAAGGGCAGGCCGCGCAGGCCGACGCCGACGGGATCGTGGCCGTACATGTTGTAGGCCTGCGAGGGCCACAGCATGAGGACGGAGAAGAAGTTGGCGCCGGACACAAAGGTGATGACGAGGGCCAGCCACATGGTGCGCGTGCGGGGCGGCGGGCCGGTGGCACCTTCGTGGTGAGGGCCGACGAGGCGGCGTGGCACCATGGGGTAGGGCGCGAGGCGGGACTGCCAAAAGGCAAAGGCAACCAGCAGCGCAACGCCAATGATCAGGGGCGCCAAGACGTGGGCGCTCGACCAGGCATACTGATAGCCGGCCCAGAGCAGGCCGGCGACCAAAAGGACAATGCCGCCAATGGATAAGACGCCGCCGACGACGTCGATGCGCGGCAGAATCTCGCTGCGCCAGGAGTGGAAGCCGGCGCTGTTGGCACGGGGCGGTGGGTGGTAGAAGACGGCGAGGACGAGCAGGCCGGCAAAGGAGTAGACGGCGGTCAGGACGCCGACAAAGCGCCAGCCGGCGTTAGTGGCGATGAGATTGGCCCAGAGGACGGCCGGGCAAAAGGGCAGGATGGTGAGGATGAGGAAGCCAATGTACTTGCCGCGCTGGCTGGTGGGCGCGATTTCGGCGGTGCCGGCCAGGGCGGTCAGTTCGTTAATGCCGGCGCCGACGCCTGAGATGGCCATACCGGCTGATTTTGTCAGTTCTGGGCAATAAAACTTGGACACAGCACACAAAGGGAGGAGGAGTGAGGACCGACCAATAAACGAGTTCATGTTGTGGGCAAAGGCGCAGACGAGCTGGCCTACGACGACAAGGCCGCAGCCGAGCAAGGCGACATAGCGACGGCCCATGAGGTCGGACAGGGCACCGACAAAGGGGCAGACGGCGGCCGAGGCCAGCAAGTTGGCCGTGATGAGCCAAATCCAGCGGTCGACGCCGCCAAGATCGCCATAGACAATGGGCGGGATGCCGCCCCAGAAGTAGATGGGAATCTGGGCGCTTGTCCACAGAAATGCCATGCCCACGAGGGCCATAAACCGAGCGCTGTTCATCGGTTGGGAAGTTAGCGTTGTGCTACGGCACGGAGTGGAAAATACAAAACATACTGGCGCCTTCGCTTCTTGCCGGCGTGTTCCTGTTTGGTCGCCGTTGGCCTCCACCTCCATGGGCTCAATGTCCCGCATGCGGTTGGACTCGTCCGTCTCGTTGACGGTGACTGTGATTTCTTTTTCGTTCTGGCCCTGGCTCTGGCTCTGGCCCTGGCTCTGGCTCTGGCTCTGGCTCTGGCTCTGGCTCTGGCTCTGGCTCTGGCTCTGGCTCTGGCTCTGGCTCTGGCTCTGGCTCTGGCTCTGGCTCTGGCTCTGGCCCTGTTTCGGTTGCCGGCCGTGGACAGCTTGGTCTGTAGCTGCCGAGGTCGAGGACGTCGAGGCAGCGGCTGTGATCATGGTTGTGGTCGAGGCCGATGGAGATGTGGAGCAGATGGTTTCGTTGTCGGTTGACGGCAAGCGCACCGATTCTTTTCCGTGGAAACTCGACATGTTTCGAATTGGAGCGAGGGAGAGAGGGAAAGAAAAGAAAATCAAGGAAATAAGAAGAAAATATGAACAGGGGGGATACGGGAAGATGTTGGTGCCCCTTCTTATGATTCTTGACAGTAAACAAGAAAAATATGGAGAGGATGAAAGGGGGGCAAAGATGAAGAGAAAGAAACAGGGAAACAGAAAGACAAGGTAAAAGACAACAAGTTAAACAGGCGTGCCAGGGGAACGATGGAAAACGCTGCAGAGAAACGAGAATTATGGGTACTGCACCGGGAGAGTCAATCAGGAGAGCCGAAGAAAGGGGAAAGAGACATAAAGAGTGGAGGGTGCAACGACAAAAGGAAATAGCCAAGACGAGATAGGAGACCAACAACAGGAAAGATACAGGCACAAGGTGGAACAACCGAATGGCAGACGGAGTCGACGGGACGTGGAGACGCCATCAGCATGACATGCATAGGATGCATACATGCCGAGAGTTCTGGCCTGCATCTGCAGTATATTCCGGTGAACCGCGACGGATTTTTCTACAGCGTGGCCTATTGATCAACTGCTTCGACATCCAGGAAAACCTGTGGCCCTTGACAGTCGTCGACCGCATTTGGCGCCGTCTCTCCTTCTCGCCCTATTCATTAAAGTAGGGACTGAGGCGATGGCGTTATGGCCGTCTTTCTTTTGTTGATCTGGAAACGTTTCTCACGTCTGCTGTCTCTTTTCCTCGTCCGCTCGTCTCTTGGCTGTATTGTTTGGCTCTTGTCTGTACCACGCAATGGTGAAAATTTGTGTGCACCCTCTGTCTCTTGCTGCCTTTGTGCCACGTCATGGTTCGCTTGCCACCATTCCGAGATCTGTATGTGTGTGCAGGGGGAGAAAGGAGTGGAGAGATTGCCTACGAAGGGATATGTGCCCTGCTCGACCAGGAACATTGTTGCGAAAATAAAGGGTCATGGGGGCAAGACGAAAATCACAGGCGAATATATGGATTGCAGGGCAGTGCATGGTTGTACAGACGGGAAATGGTCTGGTCGTACAAGCCGTTGTGCAGTTTCCGAGTTTTATTGTTATTATTATTTTTTGTTTAGGTCCTCGATCATTTTCAAGTCCAGGTACCAGTTGACCAGTTGAGCCGAAATCTTCATGTTTGACTGTCCTTCATCATTTTCATACGAAGTAGTTAGTTTAATTGCACTCGACGTACATCCTACTATATCAATGTTATTACTGTTTATAAACAAAGCAGACATCTCATACACCGTCAAGCACGCGTGCTGCCGAAGACCACTCGGCCATCCGCATCCACCTTCATTTCAAAAGAGGGCAGTGATACTCTGTATTTCGCACCCATTTCACTCTCTGCTCGGATAAGACAAGAAATGGCTCAACGAGAAGAAAGAAGACGAGGACGGGTTTTTTGCAGTCGAGACAAGACGCAGAAGAGACAAGTGGGAGCACGTCAAAACGAGTCCTCGGCCGTGAGGGCAGATTTGAGGTAACGGTGTACAAGAAGAGGAGGATACGGTTAATCAAGACGAGGTTGGAGCACCGAAAGGGGTTGGGGAAGAAGATAGGAGAGGATAGACGATAAACGATAAACGATACGAACAGAGAGAGAAAGAGAGGGGGAACGAAGAGGTGAATAGGAACAAAACAAAAATAATAGGCCCAAGACGAGAATACACCCTACCACAGTCGCTGCCACCAACTTGCCCTTCTCTGCCTTGTTTTTTTCTCTGCCCGTACACTGCTGTTTAAAGAGTGTGGTAGGACACATACAACCTGATACAAGCCTTTACCGTCCGCCAACGTCGCACAAAACGAGTGTGAGAGAAAGGGCAGTCTGTTCATTGGCAAGCTGCCGGTCCGGTAAAAAAAATGAGAAAATGAAAAGGGGCAACCAAGACGAAGAACGAAAAGAGAAAAGAGAAAAGTAGAGGAGTGTGCCAAGTTAGGACGGAGGACACGAGAAAGGAGGACAGCACAGCATGCACAGGGAAACCCCGAGTTGGAGGCGCCAAACAGGGGCGAGGAGCAAACAAACACGATAGACAGGATGGACACATGGGCACACCGAGTTTAGGCCGTGATAGGCTGGTCTCACTTGCGCTACAAATTCAGATACAACCCGAGCTGGAGACATTGCAAATACGGGATCACAAGCAAGTCATCGAGACTGTCAACGTGAGACAGGAAGAGGAGAAACAAACGAGACTGGCAGAGAGCCATGAGACCAAGAATGTAAAAGGTAAGATTGGATAGACAAGGCTGTGTGGATGGAGGCAAATGGCGCAGAAATCAGTCACAATTGGATCTCAGACGAAAGAGGCGAGTTAAACAGCTGCCACCTCGATGGCCGGGCTGAAGGTGTTCGCAACATTGACTTACTGTCCCAAGTGACTATGAGAAGACAGCCCTAGCCGGAACAAAATTCATACTGTCTACAGAAAGATCCTACATCCTTCACGTCCAGGATATGGGGACGAGACGAGTCGAGGCAGATTCACTTGATGGTCTTTGTTTAATTATCGTCTGGCCGTCATGAGGCGTTACTTTACTTGGTAATTTTACAAGGTTTCTCTGTTTTTGCGATATTTTGTCCTCCCTTATGTAAAAAGGACACTCATCTATCCGTTCATTTTGTTCCGATGCAGCACCGAGCAAAGCCATCATCTCGCTTTACTTCACTTGCGCAGACAAGCCGGACGCAGCTGGTATTGTAATTGCCTTTATTTTTTTAAATAAAAAAGACATAAAACAACCGGTCAACGGGGATGAGTCCATCGATATATTCTACTCTTACATTTTGTCATGGCATTACGCTTACTCTTTCCACGCCGTGCTCTTCCTTCCTAGGCCCACGGAAGCGCCGTCTTTGCCCATCAGGCCCTGTTTCCGCCGATTGAGCGGTTCCGTGGTGCAGTTGGTTAGCGCATCGTACTAATATTTCCGCAAGAGAAATCCAATGCGAAAGTCGAGGGTTCGAGCCCCTCCGGGACCATTTTAGTTTTCTTTTTGCACTTTTTCCATTCTTTCCCTTCAGTGTAGACAGTTTACAAATATATATATACAAGCATGGCCCTCCTGCCCTCCTTCGTCGGACATACGGGTGCACCGATAAGATGAGGGCAAAATCGAAGTAAAAAAGTATAACCCTCCCGCTCCGTCGTCGGACGTACGGTTACTCCGATCGGCTCGCTGGGTTGATTCTACCTACTATAACCTACTACCGGGGATCAGAGGGAGATAATTAAGAGAATAAAACAGTTAATAAAAGATAGAAGTTAATGATAATTTACGAAAGAAGGTTGATGTTAAAGTTGTGAGAACACGGCCACGGTAAAGGTCAGAATAGATCGGACCCATAAAAACGGACCATAAAACCCCCCTCTAACGAATCAAATCGATTTCGCGTCAGAAACTAACGAAAAAGTGGAGTAAAAAAGCGATTCTGACGAATAAGAGGGCTCAAATGGACGAAAAACTGGGGGCCGCTAGCGTGACGGACCAATCAGGCTGCAACAATCCGCAAAGTCTTTAAACAACCAATGAACGGAGCGTATTCAGGAAAAAGCGGGCCGAAACGGACCAATAGGAGGCGGCTCTCAAAACTTCTTCATGGTACCTTAAGATTACCATTTGAAGTACCATTTGAATTGTTATGAATTCTCAATCGTGGCCTCTGAAAATGGTCTCGTCTCTTGCCTCGTAACAGAGGGAGTGATTACTCTGAACAAGGCGATATTCGTTTCCATAGTACCATACTCCATAGCACACCGCACCAACTCTGCTGTATCGTATTTGTCCTCCCAGTAAACACAAAACTACAATTCAATAAGGAACCGCAAGGCGGCGTTCTCGCAGCCGCCGGCCAACGGGTATACAGTAATCGAACAGGATAAAATACAGTAAACACAAAACACGACACACTTCATACCAACACCGTCATTATCAATGGCTCCGGACACCAGCGCGGACATCAATCGGGGCGCGGCACCAAGCTTGGCTGCCATTGCTCGCCGCCGTCGTGGACTATCCGAAAAAGTCTTGGGCGCCGCTGCCGCCGGCCGTCTGCTGCAGCTCTTTGCCGAGCTGTTCGCGAAGCTCCTCCTCGAGCAGCAGGTCTTCCTTTTCCTGCTCGAGCGTCTGCTGCTCGAGCGACGCCTGCTCCTTCGCAGCACGGGCCGTCTGCTCGGGATGCTGCGGCTGGGCCAGCAGCTTGGCGCGCCGCGCGCTCGCAATGTAGTTGGACACGTCGCGCGCGCCGACGTTCTTGCGGTACTTGAGGCGCAAAAAGGTGACAATCTGCTTCATCTTCATGTCCATCTGCAGCAGCACGTCGATGCTGTCCTTCTGGTCCGCGTCCAGCGACCGGTGCACGCGGTGCGCAAACACGTCTTCGCTGGGCGCGTGGTTGTGCACCGAAAACTGCGCGCCCGTGCGGTGCCGCACCTGCCACAGCCCGTCGCGCCGCTCCTTGACGTACACGGAAAAGTGGCAGTCCGTCCGCCGCGACGCCGCCCGCTGGCGCTTCATGACGCGGTTGGGATCGCGCCCGCGGCCCGAGCGGTCGCACGAGTACATGGCCGTCGTCAGGCCGCCCGACGTCTGGAACGACCGCGATGTGATAAATGCGTAGCCGTGCGCAGCCGCCAAAGCGTTGATCGCCTTGTACGCGTCCTCGCGCGAGTGGTACACGGCCTCGGGCGGCAGCACTTCGGGGCCGAAGCCGGGAAACCCGTCGGGGTAGACCTGCGTTGCTGCCATCGGCGGCGCCGTCGCGCTGGGAGTGTGGCCCACAAAGGAGTCGTCTGCATTCGCACCCGCATCTGCGTGTGCATTTGCCCCTGCCATCGGTCCTGTGGCCGTGCCGGCACTCGCATTCACTGTCGCATGGTGATTCGGCGTCGCGGGCATCGCCGCCATCGGCACCGCGGCCGCGACGGCGGATTTGGCGGCACCGGAGCTCATTGTGGCCGCTGTCGCATGCTTTCGCGCTTTCGTGCGAACCCCAGCGAGGGCTGTACGGTCCCCTGAATAAAGAGCGGGAAGACGAGAGCGAGCGTACAGAGGGGACGGTTGCAATGTCCGGCGTCGAGATGGGGACAATTGACAAAGCTGCAGTACGCCGTGCTCCGTGCTGGCGTACCATTAGAGATGCCACGCGCTGCAGGGCTGTTTGATAGCCGCCAAATTGAGGTGGCGGGTATCTTGACAGCTTAGTCATATCTTAGGTAAGTCTGCTCCGGGGCGGGACTGCCCTGGCGGACAAAGGTGGGGCTTCGGCGGGACACTGCAGACGGTGCACAACGGAAGCCGCGATGTCAGGGGTCTCTTTGTTGATCAATACGCTCTGCTTTTTCACTGCACCATACTCTCGTTTCCGCCAGATCTCACCCAGTCCACCCGCTCCCCCGTTTCCTTCAAGCCCCGCCCACCTCTCTTCCACCACCCTACGACGTACAATGTCCCGGTTGGCCCCCCTTGTGTTCCCCGCGGCGGGCCCGCGGCACACGGCGACGGTGATCTTTGCACACGGCCTCGGCGATTCGGGCCATGGCTGGGCCTCGGCCGTCGAGAACTGGCGCCGCCGGCAGCGCCTGGACGAGGTCAAGTTTATCCTGCCGCACGCGCCCGCCATCCCCATTACCGTCAACATGGGCCACCGGATGCCGGGCTGGTACGACATTGTAAGTACTCCGTAGCTGTGTCCAGCAAACACAACAATCGCGACCGGATGAGTTTTGAACCCAACCTAACGCCGGAACAGGCTGCCCTTGGCGGCTCGGCTGATTTGCTCCGCGAAAACGAGGACGAGGCCGGCATGCTCGAGAGCCGCGACTACTTCCGCCAGCTTGTCCAGCAGGAAGTCGACAGCGGCATCCCCGCCAGCCGCATTGTCCTTGGCGGTTTCTCGCAGGGCGGTGCCGTCGCGCTCTTCTCGGGCCTCACCAGCCCCGTCAAGCTGGCCGGCATCGTCGGCATGTCCACCTACCTGCCGCTGACCCTCAAGCTGGAGTCGACGTACCTGCCCAAGGCACCCGCCGTCAGCGCCAATGCCCAGACGCCCATCATTATGTGCCACGGCACCCTCGACCCCGTGCTGCCCTTCCAGCTGGGCCGCATGTCCAAGGACAAGCTGGCGCAGCTGGGCTACCCGATCGAGTGGAAGGAGTACCAGATGCCGCACACGGCCACGCCGCAGGAGCTGGACGACGTCGAGGCCTTTTTGCACAAGGTGCTGCCCGAAACGTCGGTTGGCAAGACGGAACTGTAAAGGTGGTGGGGTGAATAAAGGGGTTAAAACAAAAGACGGTGCGGCGGGAGTCAGGTATGTACTCCAGTTGTTGCTTTGGAAGTTGACAATCCTCGGAGAGAGCGACACATAAGCAGCGGCACATACGAAGCGACACAGAACAAGCCACAATTAAGCGTCATATAGAACCATGAAATTGATTACCGACATCCGCTGCGTTATTCCTATGAGACGAGCAAAATGCCCAGTGAGCCAGTGAGCCAGTGAGCTAGTGAACTATTAATGTATTAGAAGCATAAAGTGCCGCAGACCGGAGCTGCCATTGTGCAATTTATGCATAGTAACGATAATCCAAAAAGGTATTTCATTGCAGTTTGCGCAAATCTAACAAGGGCTACTACCCAGCCTCTACACAGTCTCTCATCGTCTCTAGTCGCTGCTCAGCAGACGCTCCACGGCCCACGAGACGGAAAAGTTGCGCAGGTCCGAGTAGTGCTGGCCGACGCCGACAAACAGGATGGGCACGTTGGTCGCGTGCACCAGGCTGACGAGCGTGCCCACCATGCTGCCGACGGTGTCGCACTTGGAGATGATGAAGCCGTCGAGGCTGCGCACGCTGCCAAACGCCTGGTTGAAGCTGCGCGCCTGGGCCACCGAGTCCGTGCCCACAAGCGCCTCGCCGACCATGAGGATCTTGTCGGGCTGCGCAAACTTGGCAAACTTTTCCAGCGACGACATGAGCCGCTGGTCGTTGTGGCGGCGGCCGGCGGTGTCGATCAAAACAACGTCGAAGCCGTGCTGTCCCGCATAGGTCACGGCGTCCTTGGCCACGGCGGCCGCGTCCTTGCCGTATCCCTTTTGGTACAGCTCGACCTGCCCGCCCTCGCGCGCCGTGAGCTCCGTCAGGTTGCGCACGTGCACGGCCAGCTGCTCGACGGCGCCGGACCGGAAGGTGTCGCCGGCCGCAATCAGCACCTTGTAGCGGTTCTGCAGCAAGAAGAAGCAAATCTTGGACAGGTTGGTCGACTTGCCCACGCCGTTGACGCCCACAATCGACATGACGTAGGGCCGCGCGGCGCGCAGCGTCGTCGCGCCGGGGCGTGTGACGGCGTCGATTTCGCGCAGCAGGTCCAGCGACGAGGTCGGCGTCAGCATTTTTGTCAGGGCGGCCTCGAGCGCCGTCTTGACGCGCGCGCTGGTGCTCTCGAAGCTGCCCGTCTTGGTGCCCAGCAGCTCGGCCTCGACGCTCTCGCAGAGGCGCACGGCCGCCTCGCGGGCCACGTTCTTTCGCAGCAGGTGCTCCTCCATGCCCTTCATCGTCTTGTCCAGGTCCGCCTTGGTCAGCGTCTTGCCGCCCACGACGTTGCGGAACAGGCCGCCAATCGTGCTCAGGCTCGAGCCCACGAGGCCGCTGCTGGCCGCTGCGGCAGCCGACGATGCCGCCTTGCTGCTGGACGCATCCGCGTCGGCGCTTGCCAGGATCGAGCGCACCTCGTCGTCCAGGTCCTTGAGCACAAACTTGCCGCCCTTGGCTGTCTTGCCCCACGTCGATGCGTCCACCTGCTCGAGCGCCGGCCGCTCTGCTGTGGTGCCGCCAGCGTCGTTCCTGCCGCCCTTTGGAAGGTCGACAATCGAGTAGTCCAGCTGGATGTCGTCGTCCTCCTCGGCCTGGCCGTCCGCGCCCCACTTGCGGCCCTTCTTGGCCGTCTTGGACGTTGTCTTGTTGTCTTTCTGGTGTTTCCGCACAGTCGCCGCCTCGTCGCTCGACTGCACAGCACTGCCGCCGCCGCTGGCTCCGCCTGCTGCTGTTGCTGCGTTTTGCGCCTTGCGCGCCCGCCGCGACAAGTTGCTCAGCGGGCTAGGCTGTGCGGATGTTGTCGCGCCATGGCCGGCCTGCAGTCCGCCGCCGCCGCCGAGGCCGCCGGTGCCGCCCGGTGTCGAAGGTCGCGAGTGGGACGGGGTGATGGTGGGAGTCGAGTCGGGCAAGTCGGCTGCTGCTGATGCCACGTGTATTGTCGACCGCGACTTTTCGCTCATCAGAGACGCAGACGCAGACGTAACCGATCCGCTGCCTTCGAGTTCGTTGAGCTGCTGGTCGAAGTAGTCGTCGAAGCGCGCGCACTCGACAATCGTGGTGTTGGGCCGGGTCAGCTGGTCGCCATAGAGCTTGACAAAGAGCGTCTTGATGTTGTCGACAAGCTTGTCGATCCACGAGAGGTGCAGCAAGGATTTGTAGACGGCAACAAAAATAATGCCCAGGTCCTTGGCGAAGGCCCACTTGACGGCGTACTGGTCGGTCAGGAAGGGCGCATGGCTGCTGCTACTACCGCCGGCGACGGCCGAGGCAAGGTCTTCCTTGGTGCCGGCAGTGGTGGCCTCCTCGATGAAGACGTCGGTAATAAAGCGGTTGACGATGGACGGGCTGACAAAGGCGTAGCTGCGCGACCACAGGACGACGCCCGATGTGGTGATGATCTCAAAGCTGTCCAACATGTTGGCGGTGCATGTAGGAAGGGGGGCGAAAAGGGAAAGCCGGAACAGGTGAGGTCGGGAGGCGGAGGTGACGATGGCGAGAAGAAAGAGTCGAAAGGAGAAAAGAAAAGAAAGCCGAGAAAATAAGAAATAAAAAAACGAGCGAATTCAGATTCGTACCGCAACGCTTAGCGGGGTGAGAATATAAATACAATGCCACACGAGGGAGGCCCGGCGAGAGTATGCGCGGTCTCGGATGCCGGAAGTGAGGTATTGGACAACAGCAGATGCGCAGAGTAGTGTATGTGGAAATCGTCGAAATGGCCTCTACAAGCACAGCCTAGAACCCTGCATGTGCTGGCGATCTGATGCGATAAGAGCGACGCGCCTATGCGATAAGGGGCACAGTACGGAAAATAGTTTAGCCGGCGTTGGGAACTTTGGAAGGTGCATTTGGCCCTCTCAGGTCGGCAGGCAGGGGCGAAGCTTCCTGGTGGGCCTTGTGGGGCATTTGTGGCAGCAGCGGGCTAACAGCAAGAAGAGCAGCTGCTTCTCCCAATGGGACTTGCCTAGAGCTAAAAGTAGCCGCAGCCAAATGAAACGAAAGACGACACATTGCGACAACGTCGACACCACATAACCCACACGCGACCACCTCTGCTAGCCTTTTGTTCGTGACGCATTCGACGGTCATTCGTTTGCCGACAAAGGGAAGGACACATTGTCACCGACGACCTACCCAAGCGCACTCTGACCACTCGACGACGGGACATCGCCGCCTCCTTTTTGTGGCATCGACCTTGTCTCAAGAAACTCTCTCGAGCGTTTCCCCTTCCTCCATCGGCTCCCCCCACACCCATCACGGCCATGCAGCGTCCCGCGTACGGGCAGTCGCCCCCACTTCACCACCCCGTTCCCCAGCATGTGTCGACGGTGCCGCAGCTGCGGTCACCACCGCCGCCGACGTCGTCGCAACCACAGCCTCAGACCTACGGCAGTCCGTACCAGCAGCAGCAGCAACAGCAGCAGCCACACCAGCAGCAGCAGGGCGGTAGCTTCCCCATGGGCAACATGTTTGGGCAGTACGGCCAGTTTATGAACGATCCGACGGCACAGGTGGCCGCGCAGCTCTCGCACACCGCGCTCCGGCAAGGGCAAGAATACGTTGAGCAGAATGTAGGCCGGATTCGCTTGTTGTCCATTCTCTTGTTGTCCCTATTTCCTTTGTCCATTGTCCCCTCCGTTGCCGTTCCGTGTCTGACCTGTCTAGATCAACCGCTATGTTAATGTCGGTGTCCTGAAACACTACTTCAACGTGTCCAACTCGTACGTGCTCAGCAAGCTGTTCCTCGTGCTGTTCCCCTGGCGCCACAAGCCCTGGTCGCGCAAGCAGACCGTCGGCCCCGCCGGGCAGGAGGGCTGGTACCTGCCCCCGCGCGACGACATCAACAGCCCGGACATGTACATCCCCGTCATGTCGGTTGTCACGTACATTTTGCTGTCCACGCTCGTCGCCGGTCTGCGCGGCCAGTTCCAGCCCGAGCTGCTGGGCTACACGGCCTCGGTGGCGCTGGCCGTCGTCGGCGTTGAGATCCTCGGCCTCAAGCTCGGATGCTACCTGCTGAGCATCTCCAACACGTCGCAGCTGCTCGACCTCGTGGCCTACTCGGGCTACAAGTTTGTCGGCGTCATTGCCACCATTGCCGTGGCCGAGCTGGTCAATGGCGGCAAGGGCACGGGTGGCTGGATCGGCTGGTCGCTGTTCCTCTACACCTTTTTGGCGAACTCGCTCTTTTTGGTATGTACCGCGTCCCACGGCAGTCTCCCAGTGTCTCCTTTCTCTAACTCGTTTTGTAGATGCGCTCCCTCAAGTACGTCCTTCTCCCCGAGAGCTCGGCCGACAGCCGGCCCATGCAGACGGACACGCGCGCCAAGCGCAACCAGCGCACGCAGTTCCTCTTTTTCTACTCGTACGCTGTCCAGTTGCTGCTTATGTGGATCCTCAGCCGTGCATAAGCGGTGAAAACGGTGAATGGCACAGGGTGAGAGACGCCAGTCGGCGAACAAATTCATCCGTTTACGGGACTAGACGAGAGATGGATGGGCATGTGGGTAGACATACAGGCGGTTGGGCGATCGGGTCGGGAATGGGTGTCTGTGCAGGGCCGGCAGACTGGCAGAGGCATTCAACGACATTACATACGGCGTACGTGTTCCCCTGGATTTGTTTTATTTTTATTTGTCTTTCTTTGTCTCCCTTGTCTTTCTTTTTCTTTTCTTTTCTTTTTGGTCTATTTCCTTCAATTTTTTTTCTCTTGTTTTAGCTCCTTGTGTATCATATAAAGCAAGCTTCTGTTTTTTGGGAGCTGGCCCCATCTCGGGCTTCGAAAGTCGAAATGGAAAAACAATAAAGTTTCTGTAGATATTTCACTTGTCATCATTAGTACGCTGTCGCTGCAACGAACAAACGATGCGGACACAGCGGCCAGACGAGTCTGCTATGGCCCAAACCGATGCTATGCTTCCAGCAGTCTTTCTTTGCCGTTAATCCTTAAGACCCCTTCGCTCAGGTGTGAAATTGCAAATGGTAGCAATGGCCAGTATTGTTTGTATTAACTAACGACTTACCAGCCATCGTGAAAGGGCGCGAGACATAACATTGATGACAAGTATTTATTTAGCATTTATTTAATATATATTAGAGAATATAAACTGGTTCTTTAACGATAATGGCGCTGTTCTCCGTTGTTGTCCTCTTGAACTCAGCTGCCATTCTAGAAAGATACAGCACTTGTCAGTGGTCGGTGCGCCGGGCCGGCTCCTTCCTCCTCTCACAACCATTGGCTTGGCGGTGTGGTCCACTCACCCACGTTGCTTTGCTCTTTCCCTTGCTTGGCGCACGCAGCTCCGTTCCTGCCCCATCTGACGGACTTGCGTACCCAACGCAGGATAAACGCCAACACGTCAAAAGTGCTCTTGCCGAATTTGCCAATGCTTGCCGGGAAATAACAAAATCCAATCTCTCACTTTTCTTTATTTTCACCTCTCTTCCTCACCCTCCCAATTTCATTCAATCCCCGCCTATCCGCACATGTCAATGTCTCCGACATCGTCGCCCGCGGCTGTTCATATCGCAGCTGTTAAGCTTAATCTATAGCCAACCCCGCCGCCCATCAACCCAGACCGCCATCTCTTAACCGGGTTTTCATTTTCTCTTGTCTTTTCTTTTATTTTTTTTTATCCTCACTCCTCTTCGGACGTTCCGCGTCGTTTCGAGTGTTAGCACACAGACATCATGGCCACGCCACCCTTGCTGCCCATCACAATACAGGCGGTTGTGATGAGCGTGGTGTCCAGCCTAATCGCGCAGCTGCTAGCCGCCTACCAGAATAAGGTCAGCTCCCTTTCTTTTGTGGTGAGAATATCATGACCGAAACGCACAGCTAAATCCCCGGCAGACTCCGCTGGCGTCTGCTTTTGACGTGGAGGCGATCATCAAGTTCGTTGTCTTTGCCTTCGTCATGACACCGCCAAACGTTCTCTGGTATGTGTCCCTATGGACTTTGACAGCTCTTGTCAATGTACAGAACTGCCAGCGTCTACGTTTGTGCAGCATTCCTCTAAACAGCTCCCGCACCATAGGCAAACCTTCCTCGAGAGCTCGCTTCCCGGGTCGCGCAAGGCCCCCGCCAGCAACGACAAAAGCGATAAGCTGCCCAAAGAGTCGCTCAACATTAAAAACACAATCGCCAAGACCCTGCTGGACCAATCGCTCGGCTCGAGCGTCAACACCTTTTTGTTTTGTTCCTTTATGGCCGCGTGGGACGTGCTCGTAACGCAGGGCCAGTTCTCGGCAACGGCCACGGCACCGGCAACGGCTGCCAGCCTCGTGGGCACCGCTGTCGTGAACCGCGTCCGCACGGACTTTGTTCCGTTTATGAAGGCCGGCTGGCGCTTCTGGCCGTGGGTGAGTCTGGGCAACTTTGCGCTGGTGCCGGACGTGGCGACGCGCAACCTCGTGGGCGGCCTGGCGGGCATCGTGTGGGGCGTGTACGTGAACCTGTTTGCGGCCGGGTCGCCGCCGGCTTTGAAGGAGGAGTAGAGGAAAAGCGTCGGCAAAACAAGGGTCGAAACCAAAACCTCGCAAAGACTGCGCATTCATCATGCCAGCAGAACAACTAATATATAGGCGGGGTATCATCTACACCGGCGTTTATGGCGAGACCGTTGAACAGCATAACTGCATGGACGAGGACAAAAGGAGGCTTGTGTGCAGTTTTGTTTTAAAAATGTAAACAATTCATAATATTCGTGTCAAACAAATGGTCGCAGCCATGCAACAAAAAGGGCCGAGTAACGCCAGGTCCCGAGTAACGCTAAGATACAAATATAAATACCGAAAAATGAGGTAAAATGACAAAAACAAAACAAAACAAAAAGACGCCACTGCACGTATCCATTTTTTACTTCTCCCATTTTCGGATAGGGCCCTTCTCATTCTCCTGCGATGTATGTAAATGCTAGAAGGGGATATAAACAGAATATAAGTGAGAAATATCGAGGAAAAGAAATTGTCAAGGCGAGAAAATGGGGAGAGAGAGCAGGCGACCGCCCTCATCAACGCTGGTTACTATTCTGGCGACGTAGAACGACGCCTTCATCCAGCTGCTCGATGTTGTCCTTTTTTGTAAGCTTCTTGAGAGCGGCGGTCGATGGCGCAGCACGAGATGTTGGCATGCTCCCCTGACGGTCGTGGGTATCGGTGTCATCGTCCGCCTTTCTGGCGGCAGTTTGCAGGGCCCGGACATCTGCCTCCCACAGAGTCCGCATCACCAGCTTGATGTGCTCAAACAGCAGGTGCATCTGGAACGGCTTCACCACGACATCGTCGCAGCCGGCCGCACGTGCGTCCGCAATCTGCTCGGGCCGCGCGTTGCCAGTGATCATGAGCACGGGTATGCGGCCCCCCGCAAAAGTGCCTGCCGCCTCGAGGGCGCGGATGTGACGTGTACAGGTCAAGCCATCCTGCACGGGCATCTCCATGTCCATGAGCACAACCGAGATCGGATAGGAGCCGGGCACGCGGCGGTCCGAGACCTTGATAATGTCCATGGCCTCAAGGCCGTTGGCCGCGACCTGCACATGGAAGCCGCTCTTTTCAAAGTAGCGCCGGGTGACTTTCTGGTTGACTATGTTGTCTTCGACGAGCAGGACGCCGCGGATCTCGGGTGGTCTGGTGGGCACGGAGGCCAGCTGACCGACGGCCTCGATGCTTCCTCCTTTCGTGGGTAGCGCGGCGGGGGGGTTCGTTGTCGATGGTGCTGCTGCGGCGGCAGTGACGAATGGCTTCTGCGACTTGGTAATGTCCACAGCGTTGGCCGTGCCGTCGATGCTGTTCCTATCCAGCAGCGGAAGGTCGTTATTGGACCCACCCGATGTAGGGCGGGGTGATTCAGACACCGAGGACGTGCAGGGATCTTCATTTGGGGCCGGCGTCGCAGTCGGGGTCGGAGCCGTTGCTGTCAGGTTACCAGTGACGCTGCCAAGACCCGCGGCCAGAGCAATCTTGGCGGCTTCGCCCGGCGACAGAATCTCGGGGACGGCGGTGGGCGGTGGGATGTAGGCCTCAATGTAAAAGGCAAAGGTTGAGCCCACCCCGGGCGTCGACGCGACGCCAATGGCGCCGTTCTGAATTTCAGCGAGTCGCTTGCTGATAAACAGGCCCAGGCCAGACCCGCCGTGCTTGATGTGTGTGTTGGACTCGGCTTGGACAAACTTTTGGAAGAGCGACTCCATGCCCTCCTTGGTGAGGCCCTCGCCAGTGTCTTTGACCTCAAAGATGAGGAAGACAGACTCCCCCATGGGCGATTGAGAGTGGGCAGCAGCGGGGGCGGACGATACAGACGTCGGAGACGTTGGCGAGGCCGGGGTGCTGGGGGCGGCAGCGTACTGAGTCCCAACATTGGCGCCACCGCCAGGGTAGTTGTACGCAGGCGCCAGCTTGTTATCGGCCTGCGGGGGCACAAAGGCGACGTGGCACAGGTCATCCGTGGGCCGGGTGCGTGACACGCCAATTGTTGTAGTGACCTCACGGATGTCGACAATCTGGGTGAACTTGAGCGCGTTGGTGAGGAGGTTGATGAGGATCTGCTTGACGCGAGACGGGTCGAGCACAAGGAATGGGGTGGCGGCGGGGGTCGACCCAATCGGCGGTGAGCCCACCACACGAGAAGAAGACAAAGGGGGGCTCGTGGTCGGGAACAGAGACGAGGCCGGCAGTTCGCGGTAGTATGAATCATCCACAGACATGCGCAGCTGAATGTTCTGCTGCCGGGCTTGGACCTCGAACATCTTGAGCGTGGAGCGCACAATCTCAATGGGGTCGACGGTGACGGGCGTCACGGCGAGCAGGTCCGAGTCCAGCTTGGACATGGTCAGGATGTCATCGACAATGGCTTTTTGGTGCAGAGCAGAGCCGACAATGATTTCCGCATAGTCAATGCCGTCCTCGAGCATGCCCAGGGCACGCTGGCGCGGGTCGGACACAGGGCCGGCGAAGGCGCGCACATCGTCACGCAGTCTCGTCAAACACTCGAGAACGGCGTCGCCGCAGTGCATGATGACCGTCAGTGGGTTGCGGATCTCATGCGACGTGATGTCGACAAAGTTCTCTTGCTGGCGTTTGGACTCTATGGCTTCCTCCTTGACCTGGCGCTCGCGTTCCAGCTGCCAGCGCCGCAGAGAAATGTCGCTGAGACAGCCAGTAACAGACTGGACCTTGCCGTCTGAGTCCCTGACAGGCAGGAACGAGGCCTCGACCCAGCGTGGCGCAACGATGCGGCCCCCCGCGCTGTCGTCGGCGGTCCAGGGCTTCTTGAAACGCACCTCGACGGTCTGGTGGTCGGTCTCTGCGTCGCCACGGTTGGCAAAGTGGCTGGTGGTGTGGGCGGGCGAAGAACCCTCGGGAATGTCCCAGACACCGCTTCCGCTTCCGCTGCCACTGCCACTGCCACTGCTTAAGCTGCTGCTGTGGCCCGCCGCACTCACAAGGCGGTCGAGACAGCGCTGGACCAACGGCTGGTCCTCGGGGACGACGCACTTGAGCCAAGGATGGGTGACTTCGTCGTCCTGCTCGTCGTCGATCCCGCTGTCCTCATCACCAGCACGCCGCTCCAACCCACACATGTCGTAAAACACACGGTTGGCGCCGCGCAGGCGGCCGGTAATGTCCATGTCGTACATGCCCACAGTGGCAAACTCGGCCATGCGGCGGAGGTTGTTGGCCTGCTGGGCGTGGCGGTCGGCCGCCTCGGCAATAGTCTGGTGCTCGGTGATGTCGCGTAAGCAGACGAGGGTGCGCACGAGCCGGCCTTTGCTGTCGGTTTCGGAGTGGGCCGTCGCCAAGACGCGGCTGCTGCGGTGCTGCTCTTTTTCGTGTATCGACGACGGTGCTAGGCTGTTGCGCCGGATGGGCGGATCTCGCGCGTCGCGCAGCACAGCGGCGGTGGCTGTGGCATTAGCTGTGTTTGATGTTGTGGCTGCCGTTGCGGTGGTCGGCGTTGTTACCCGAGCCGGCGTTGACGGCTTGGTGCTCGCCACGCTGAGAAAAGAGGCCGGCTTATGCGGCGTCTTGATGACCAAGTCGTCCTTTTCTGCTGTCGGTGGCAAACCGTCGGTAGGCGCTGATGATGCCAGAGGCGGTAGCGGGAAGGGAGTGGCTGTTGCTGGTGTTGTTGTCGTTGTCGTGGTGGCTGCAGTAGCTTGCTGGTCGCGCTTCTTCACCCGGAAACCCAAAGTCCGGTTCGGACCGCTCGCCGCCTGTGCAAAGAAACACCGCACGGCGTCCTGGTCGTCCTCAACGACACAGGCCAAGAACTGAGCCCGGTTCATGACCATTCCCTCAGAATTCGCAGTATTTGGTGCCGAGGGCGGCGGCGTACAGCCCATAATATTGTACCAGGCACGGTTGGCGAACGAAACGTTGCCAGCAGCGTCAAAGACGGACATGCCAACAGGCATAAAGTCCGTAATTGCCCCGAACTTGAGAATGTACTCGGACGGAGAGGCAGACGGCGAGTTCTCCGCAAATTTGTTACCAGACGCGGCAAGGCTCTGCTCGGGCACATCACTGTCGAAGCCGGCCTTGGGCTTGCCCACGGCGGGACCCAAACCCGACTCCTCTTCTGGAGGCGAGAAGACAGCCGACGCAGGCGGCGTCGGCGGTTCAGGTGGCGGCTGCAATGTCTGCTTGTCGGTTGTGATCGTCGGCGTTGTCGTGGGCGTTGATGCTGGCGTAGATCTGGAGCGGGTGAACAATGGCCGTGTTGGGGGCGGCGGCTGTGTGGAGACGGTCACGGGGTTTGTTGTGTTGATGTCGGTGCGTGTTATGGCAGGCGCGACCGGCGCGACTGGCAAGGCAAGTGCGGTTGCGGTAGAAACGGTAGGCGCGGCCGGCGCTGGCGGTGATGCAGGAGCGGCAATCGCTCTTTCCTCGGTTGGTGTTCCCAGCTGGTTGGCGCTAATCACGACATAGCGGGCGGGCCCGGTGCCGAGTACGGCCCGTGTCCAAAAATGGTCCAGGTGTGCGACAGGTGGCAGGGCGGAGACGGTGGACGTCGAAAGGCCGCCCCATATGGCGGCATGGTTGGCGCGCGGTGCCGAGACGATATCGCGCAGTGTTGGTAAGCCGGCCAGCGCCGGGTTGACGTATACAACAGCGGGTCTATTTGGCTCCAAAGACACCACAAAGGTCGGGCGCGGGTCGACGTCGAGGAGCTCGACGAAGCTAAATTGGGGAAGGGAAAGCATAGGCGCATGAGAGGTGGACGTAACGGTGGACGGCTCGGCGCTGGCTGCTGTAGAAAACATCAACGGATGTAATGTATTTGGCTGCAGTGATGGTGATGGTGACGGCGATGGCGATAAGGAGGATGGTGTCTGTCTTAATGCAGAGGGAGGTGGCAGAGCGACTGTCCGTGGTATCCTTGCCGTACGGGGTGCAGACCCGTCGGTCGAGCCGTGTGCCAAGGCGGCGGCAGTATTTTCGTACATTTCGGGCTGTACCGCCGCCGTTGATGTGGTTGCCGTCATCGGTCGCGCTTCCGGTAATGGCGCCGGTGACCTCGTTGCGCATGTCACACCCGGCGGCGGATCTGGGTCGTGCGTGGTGGGTGATTGGTGCGTCATGGTGTCATGCCGGGTGAGAAAGCAGCAGCTAAAAATGTTCCTCGAGACTCGACTCGCGGTCATGGGGCGGCAAAGGAAACCGTTGCCCTACCGGCCACAGGTCGAGTTTCCCGTTGCGCAAGCGGTTCAGCACCGGTTGAAACCGTGAGCAAGTAAAGTAGAGGGCGCACCAGCCATAGGTTGAGGAGAGAGTATGTGAGAGAGAGGAAAGAAGTCGTCCGGCGTCGAGGCTTAGTGAGAGAGGAGGTTCATGCTGAGGCCTCTGACGACTGAACAATTTTGATCCAGGGCTGTATCGTATGTGATCTAGTTGTGACAAGTTGAGGAGTTGAGAAGCCCCGAGGAGCTGAGAAGAGGAGATGGAGAAATGAAGGAGAAGAGGAGGTTGTTCGAGGGTACGGTAAAGAAACAAGTATTTGGGTATGTCGTGACGAGAAACAGGGGACAGGGGTGGGAAAAGATGACAGACAAGGGGGCTAACCTTGGAGCTAGCGACGAAGAAGAAAGAGAGAAGGAAAAACGAAGGCCAGTTGCTCCGTAATAGTAACGGTAAACGAATGTGGGAAGGCTACAGTTTTAATTTTTAATTTTTTTTGTTGGCACCGGGCCAATGCTCAATCAAGAAAGGAAACAATAAAAATGATAATAATAAAAGTAAGCGTCAGGCGCGGGGAGGGAGGGGGGGGAGCAAGGTAAGGATAGCAGCCGAACGCATGGAAAAGCTTGGAAGCTTGGATGGGGCGAGCGAGATGAGGACGGGCTCGTGGGTGGTTTGGCCCTTGGAAGTGACGTTGGTGGTCGGCGGTCGGCGTGTCGATCCAGGACCGAGGATCCAATTATTGTTAACGTTGTTGGTGTGCAGAGATGTTGTCAAGGACCAGTCAGGCTTGCATATTCAAGGTGAAGGAGATGGGGAGGCAAGGTAGATGGGACGGATGTGGCACAGAAAAAGCCGAAGAAGAAGAGCCGGCGAGAAAACGAGTTGTCCAGCGGGTTAAAAGGAGGGTAGGACACATGGAAAGTGGCTCTGCGGGAAACGGAAGACGGACATTACAACATACAGGTGCCCCAAACAGAAACAGAGCGCGACAGAACAGGGGCTCACGATAGTAGACGGGAAAACAACACCAGCCAGGGTCAATACAGGCCAGCACAGGCCAGCATTAGCACATGCACTAGCACAGAAACTGCAACGCGACTGGCTTGTGGTGTGGAGTCAAAAGGGGGTTTGTCAAGTTGTTTTCTTTTCGAGGGGAGGCTGTGGAAAGAAAAAAAAGAAGCAACAACAAAATAACGAGAGGCTCGAGGATAGTGATGACACTCGGTAGCGACAGAAACGTGAAGAGAACAAATAAGTAAAAAGAATGGAGCAGAGGAGCAGAGGAGCAGCAGGGGACAAATACTAGGACAGACCATAGTGAGCGAGCTCAGTGAGGTCAGGTGCAGCAGTCGAAGGGCAAAGCAAAAGCAGGACAAGGACGGGCCGCACGGCACACTGCAGATCGAGAGGGGAAAGTCGACGACGATCTTGGGACATTATGGCAGTGGTTGCGAGGAACGTCACCAAATGACATTGTGGCCGTAACGGCCTTTGAATCTGGGGATCGTGTTGCATTCCGCACGATATTACACTATGGAAATAAAACATCAGCTAGTGGGCAAAAAAGAGAAGAAAAGTAAAAAAGAAGAAAAGAAAAAAAAGAAAGAGAAAACGGCAAAAAAGATGACGAGAGGGGCGGGGGCGATGAGCGTCATGAGGCAAAGACCGTGACTGCCAGCATGACATCTGTATCCCGTTAATGCGCCCACAATGGGTGTGATTTTCGGACGACTACATCTCCGTTCTTCCCCATCTCCAATGGCACAGACAACCACTCGGATAGTGGCCGTACGATACTGGAAGGGTAGGGTTTGGAAGTGACGCGGACTGCGTATTATTTAGGTCGTGGAGGTAGTGTGGAAGAAAGAAAAGAAGAAAAAAAAGAAAAAGAAAAAAGGCGGCAAAAGTGACTATTTCTAATAGCACACCACACGCATGGAGCATTCCCGCCAGTGGGTGGGAACTGTTTAAACGCCATACTACGTTAGATCCAGTAAAAGCACGAATTGGGCCGTCAAATGGGGACTCGGATGCTAAAGGGAGGGACAGGGGGTCAGATTAAAGAGCGGTGGAGGACATGGAAGATACGGTGGAAACTGGGAAACCCAAACCAAGAATCGAAAAAAATGAGGGTGAAGGAAGTAGGGTGAAATTCAAAATGAAAAACGAAATGCATGCGAGCGTCTTTGCTGCGTGCCCCCACGGGAGCTCGCCAGAATCCGCAGATGGCAGAATAAACGCTGTGCAACGTTCGGAGTATAGACAGAATAAACACTCAATAATACCACTGTACAATAAATGGCATCATAGCTCCTTGACCTCTTTGGGCATCGCCGGATGATACAAGTAGAGGGATCCGTCGTTTTTGTGGCTGAAAGGGTCCGGCACAGTTGTGATATCAAAACATAGACATTGGGCGGGATGATTTATTTCGTTCTAAACTGTTTGGTCATGTCGTGGTTTCATTTTCATGCTTGTTGGCCATTTTCTACAGTTGATTTGTCATAGGTCGTAGTACTATCTCGTCACTCATTCCCAACCGAGCCACCGTTTTCTTCCCACACAATATCTACGGAAAAACTGTTCTTAACAGCCTCGCCGTCTTGATGGGACATGCGTCGGGTATCTCATACTGATAGTCTCTGCCCGTCAATCCACCAATGGCCCTCACGAAACACGATTGCCGCCGTTCTTCCCATTTTCCATTTGGTGTTGATCGGTTAGTTTTCTTCTTTTATTTTTGTTTTCTTTTTTCTCGTTCACTTACATTTGGCCTCCAGCTTCGACCCTCTTTTCTACTTCCCCACCCACGTTGCTCACAACCCACAAAGACAGCGACAGATTCCTAAATGGCCATGCGATGAACAACAGCCGGGAACCAACACTGCCCCAAGAAGACGAAGAAGAAAACACAACGCGAGTGGGCAAAACTTACGATACAACCAAGTAAGACTTGGGTATTCGTCGACACTGTATGTTACTTGTAAATCATCTTCTCCAGACTTTCTCGATAGAAGTAGAAGACCATTTAAGTAAAAATTGAGAAGCGATAACTGTGTGAAGGAACGCAGTGTACAGCTGTCCAGGGAAGAAGGCAACAATCACCACGGACGGTAAGAAAAACATACGATATTGAGATACCTTAAACGGCTACCTTAAACGGCTGCCCGAAGATGTGAACCCCGACAAGTCAATAGCACATGAGGCATCTGGGATTTATGGGTAAGATTTGCAGCAAGATGGAACGGAGAAATATAAAGGTATATAAAATAAATGGGCTCCAGCCGCATCATCGTGGAGCGATACCGGTTCTACACCTCGCGTCTTCGTCCACTCTCCACATGCTCTGGGAATGACACTACCGCAGCACCTCACTGGCTCCCTGCTGGCTCACACGCTTTTTTACCGACCAATGATAATCGAAGGCTGCGGGATATACCTGTCCAGAGACGTACCCCAGGCCCCATAATAAATAATTTAATGGCAGTCATTACATCATGGTACTCATTGCTGTCGGGCAGGCAAAGGAACCCCTGTCGCTTGAAAGTGAGATCATTCACCGTCTTTACCATGTCATGCGCCTTACATACCGGCAAAGAAGATCAGTACAACTGGGGAACCAGTTTTGAGACACGAAAACTTCGAACTCGTCCGGTCGTGTTGTTAAACCCCTGGTGTCATATTGACCAAGTACATTGGGAAAAGACGACGGAAGAGCAGTACGGGCAAACCAAAAATACCAATAAAAAAAAGAAAGAAGAAAGGTAAGGAAAACGAGAAAAAAAACACAGGACAAAAAAAATTCAACCGCCAAAGCCAAAAAGTACTCCGCGCGGGACTCGAACCCGCAGCCTCAAGATTAGAAGTCTTGCGCGCTACCATTGCGCCAGCGGAGCTATATAGTGTATGCAGGCCCTTTATACTGGTATATAAAGGACATGCCCTTCGGCAGGTTCCGCTCCATCGTATCAGACTTTTCTCTTTGACTTCATCACGAAGAGTATTGCTTCGTATGTTGTGACTTACTTATTTCTTTTTTGGAGACCTGTTTCGGCACATGCATCTGCAAGTTCCCAATTTCGACAAATATGTCTCCTAAAATGCCCAGCGCCGTCGCATCGCGGCTTTTTGTTCTAAGGAAAACAAATGAGTCGTCCACAATCTTCAATTTGAAAAAGCCCCTAATATCACATACAGTTAAAAAAAAAAAAAGAAGGGGGGGGGGTCCACAAGCCCACTCTCGCACTCATCCCAAGGTTATGAGGATATGAGACTGGTTGCCGCCTTCTTACCATGTTGGTTGAGGCTTTCTCTTGTTTTACGGCACAAGGAGAGCAGAGCAAGGGCAAGAAATAAACAATCAATTAAATAATCCAATCGGGACTGAAGGTCTCACAAAAGAAACCAGAGGCACACAATGAAACTCGATATTGTCAAACGGAGGATGATAGAGCAACTCCGAGCTTTCCGTATTGCCTTTTTGTCCTTCCTTGGCCTTGGTGCCCAAAAGACAAAAAACGAAATAACGTGGCCTTGCTATGGTGACTTTCCCTCATTTCAGACTCGTTGCCCCGGCTTTTACTTTCACGATAGGTTTAGGACGACGTCCTAGAAAGAAAAAATCAAGCCAAAAATAGAAATAGAAATAGAAATAGAAAATGAGACCAGCCCTCGAGTCGCATCGTCATTTCTCGTCCTCCTCTTCTTCCTCGTTACAATAAAGTATTTTATGACGATAGTTCTCCAGATTTCATTTCTTTTTCTGCAACCCCTGCATATTCCCGCTGAGTCTTGCTTCTGAGCTCAGCAGAACGCTAATGCAGCCTGTCGTTTAGCCTCTATATTTGTCTAAAGCGGCCTGGCCCTCATTTCCTGCAGTGCCGGAGCCGCGGCAAGGTCGCCCAACAAAAGAAACCGCCAGTCTTGTTTGTTAGCGTGTTGTTTATGCGCTTTCTACCCATCTGTCCATGTGGCAGTTGCTCGATCGAATCCCACCAAAGCACAAAAATTATATCTCGAAATTCTTGGCGACAGAGTTGCAATCCCGCCTGACCGTTCAATCAACTGCAAGGCACTTTACCATCTGTCTTTCGCTTTGTGCCGTCCGTTTCGCGCAAATTGTACACTCTTTTGCACTGTGAAGCGGGCTTGCGAGAGAGTTGTATGTCGTATTGACAGTTGTTTTGGTTCTGCTGTGGTATGTAAAAAAGAAGGGGAAAAAAGCGGACGGACTCATAACCCTGAACAAAAACGGTCAACGTTGCGGCCCAAAGACACTTTCAAATCTCCTTATATTGCGATGACATAGGACAAGGCGGGTAATACGATGGTGCATTATGGCATTATGTCATTTCAACCCTGGCCGTGGACCTTGTCGAAAAAGGAACACAAACTTGATTGAGGTTTCGAATACGTATCAATTGCGAGCGGACATAAGAAGCTGATTTGGATAACGTGTTGGTATACCAATAAGAACAAACCAACGACATCGACCCATTGTCCGTGTAAAACTCAAAGGTGAGGGAAGAAGGGTCGAGAGATAAGTTAATGATGAAAAACACCAGAGTATAAGGTGGACAAAAGAAAAATGAAGATGCAACCAAATAAAACCATGCATTTGATATCAAAAATGAAGAAAGCCAAAGAGAATTAAATATAAGCGTCGCGGTATAGTAAAAGGCAAAAGCGGTAAACGCACACTCAACATTATGTCGTCCTTACTGACCCTCTTCCTCGACCGCAAGCATTCGTTGAGCAATGTCTTGGCTTAGCTCGGCAATTGTCACGCCCTCGACTGTCTGCACGGTGGCACCCGTCTCCCGAGAAATCCATCCCAGTACGAAGATTGAGTCGAGGGAGTCGATGCCGTAGTTGCCCAGCGATTGCTGCCGATCAAAGTCGTCCGGCACCATGCCCTTCCGCCGGGCCACTGTGGCAATGAGAGCCGTACACACAGCTTTTGCAGCTTCTTCTGCCGTTGACGCCGTTCGAACGGCGGAACGTAGATCTTGGCCTGCCGCCTTGCGAGCTGCCGAGTTGAGGCCGTGGGGCGGTGCGTCGACTTGGTTGAGGTATCGGAACAGTGCTGCTCGCGTCCAAAACGGGTCCGCCGGCTGGTTTTGGATCGTCAGTCCGCCTGTCCCGACTGCTGTTACAATCTGCGCGGGAACGCTGAGGCTAGCCTCGGACCCGGGCGGGGCCATGGCCCGGTCGAGGATGGACAGCGCGTCTTGAATACGTATGCCAATGAAGCCGGTGGCCTTCATGGCATCGAGCAGGCTTTCGTTTTCAGCAACCATGCCAGCACCAAGCACGAGGCCGAGATCAATGGACACGCTGTGCATGCCCAATGCACTACGGTGCCGGGCCAGTGCATCTTGGAAGCAGTTTCCCGCAGAGTAATTGGCCTGGCCGCGATTTCCAATGATGCCGGACGAGCTGGACAGGAAGATGAGAAAGTCCATGTCTTTTGGCAGTTGTTCATGGAGGTTGTTCGATCCGACCACCTTTGGCTCAAAGGCTCTTTGCCAGCGGTCGTAGTCCATGCTGGCGAAAGCGGCATCCTGGTCTCTAGTTAGCGATAAATCTATGATGACCTGCAGAGGTGGAACTCGACGTACGTCAACAACGCCTGCGCACTGAATGGCGCCACGGATGGACGGCATGGCGGCCTGGACTTTTTTGATGGCCACGGCCAACTGCTCGCCGTTGCAAATGTCAGCCGTAAACGCCCGGGCGTAGATGCCGGCGGCATGCAATTTGGAGAGAAATGCTTGGGCCACCTCAGAATTCGCTCCAGATCTCGAAAAGAAAGCAATGTGCTTCGCACCACATCTCACGAGATGCTCTGCTATGCTTCTGCCAAGTCCGCCGAGCCCACCAACTAATAAGTATGTCGCAGAAGAAGACAACTCTGCCCTGAAGAATGACTGCACATGCGTGTTGACCAAGTTTGCACCTGCGTCGGCCTCTGTAAATAGTAGCCGGGATCCGAAAAAGGGGTTGGCGGATACCTCGCTTAGTACTGCTTGGAGGTCGCACATGTTGTGTTCAATGACACCGCACAGCGAGTCCAGGCCTGGGGCCAGCTCAAGCATCTTGTCAACGTCGGCAGCAAGCCGCCGTGCCTCATCTGGCCGCCGCGATTCAAGGAGGTTGATGTCGACCGTTTCGAAACTGACATTCTTATCAGCCAGAGGTGGGCTGGGAATGCCACATCCTTTTTGTGCAACCCGAATCACACGACCGCCTGAGAAACAAGCAGGATATCAGCTCACGTAACCTCCTAACACGGTACAGAAGGCAAAATGCCAAAGACGAAGACCGCGGACTCTGAAGCCGCTGAAATATGACTTACATTCTGCCACACAGGCAAAGGCCTGTCTAACATGGCAAGATGTCGGATCAAAAACAACATCCACTCCAAAGCGGTGTGTAATGGCCAGAACACGTGTCTCAAACGTGTTACCTGTGCCTTCAACCTTCAAGATATGACCTGAGGGGATATTGAAGTACTTCTCTGCCATGAGCTTCTCCTCTTCCGTCAAGCATCCCACGAGCACGTTTCCCCCAAGTGCCAAGGCAATACGGATTGCGGCTTGACTGTATGCCGATGAAACGCCGTAGACAAGAACAAAATCGCCTCTCATGATTCTGCGGCCGGTGTTCAGGGCATACATTGCCGTTGAAAATGCAGTAGGACAGCTTCCTCGCCAGTCCCCGGGATTCTCAATGTGGCGTACCCTGCTGGAATCGACAATGATGTGGGTTTTGAGTGTTCCGCGCGTTCTCGCAACCACATAACTTTCCTTTTGGAAACCAGACACCCCTGTTCCCGCTTCAACAACACGGCCGAAAACATCTGTCCCTACCATTTGTGCAAGCGTGCCTCGAGTGGCTTGAATGATGTCTTCCGGTAGAAGGTTTGTGCCTATAACGGCGATCCGGACCTCGTTGGCAAGAAGTGTACCATGTAAGGCCCCGACGTCCTCGACAAATCGCGGTCCATCAGCTGCTTGCAGTGTGCACAAGTCGAGCTTCATTGCCCTGCCCTTTGTCAGAAGCATTGTTTGCTTGACCAGAGGAGATTTCTCAATTGTGGAATTCAGCACCTCGAGGGGCACCAGCCGAGGAATGAGCAATTTTCCGTTAGAGTATGCAAACTCGACATCTCCATAAGACGATCTTGAGAGGGCTTTGCCGGCAGGAATTTTCAAAATGTTCTCGACAATATGGACGATGCTATTGACAAGGGTTTCTTGGGCGCCAGAAACCCCATGCACGCCACTAAGGCTGTAAAGGTCAGAGCGTATATCAAGAGTCACAATCTTTCTCTTACATTGCTCAGACCGCAAAGTGCGAGCCAGCCCCGAAATTGGCGAGCGGTTTGGATTTATGCAGTCGATCTGGCCGCCTTGCGAGAGCCAGAAAATGCCACAAGACTGGGTAAGAACGCTGTGCAAAACCTTGAAGAGTTGTGGCCCCATGGAGGTGATAAGAGGTGTGTCGACTTCAACTAGAGACAAGACGAAGCTATGGAGAACTTCTAGAATCGGGAGTGAATGGATATTGGCTTCGTGAACCTCAAACGCCAGTCGTTGTTCTAGGATCGGGCTCAGGATGCTTTTCAATTCGGCGACAAATGCAGACATGCTATCTGGAAGAAGGACAATCATTTTGTCGCGCTTTTTTGTCGGCGTCATATGAAGTTTTTCTCGACGAGGTAGTTTTTGGGCCGTTAGAAACGAACGTTCCTTTGCTAGTGAACTGCTGACTTGAAACCCAGCGGACTGTATTGCGAGTCTGAGTGCGCCGTATTCCGCATCTTTGATGGCACATCCTAAATTGGACAAAACGACGAGCCAGCCATTTTCATCAACACGTTGCAGAATTCTAGTCAGGCTGTTGACAGATGTCTGGTTATCTGTCGAACAAACGACGAGGCCGTGCGTGTCATTCTCAGATTCGGCCTCTGCACAATGTATGCGTTCGAGCCCGGGGCCGATTTCTTTCAGCATTCGTAAATGTTGCCATGTCTTCTTTGCGTTGACACCAGAGACGATGCAGCGAGAGAATCGCGGAGTTTCGTATCCTGCTGCGAGGCCGCCAAGAATGAATCTCGTAATGTTCACAGCATCGGCGACGACGCCTAGGTGGCGGATGTCGCCATTGGGAAAATTCATGCCACCGTAAACCGAGTTCGGGCCGTGTAACGCATGGTAAAGAATAGACTGCGAAGGATTTTGATGAGAGGTAAGATCGATGACTTCTTGGATGCTTATAGGAAGGTCGAATCCCAGTGCTGCGATGCTGCTAGCATCCTGCTTCCAGACGATCTCGGAACATAAGTTTCGGTGTGAAGGTAGAAACCCGCCATTGCCTGGCGCGGTCTTAGGGGCAACGGATTTGAACAACACGTCTTCAAGAATAACTGCTGGTGCATGAAGTCCTTCGTCAAACATGGTGATATCTGCAATTGCGCCTCCTGATGGCGGTGTGCGAGCCGTGGTAAAGCCCTGAAAGCGCGAGCCTGCACCTTTTGGCAGCGCTCCCGAGACAAAGATCCGCCCGGCGGAACAGGGAAGCATGGCGCCTTTACAGTCGCCCAAAGTTATGACTGTTTGCAGCATGGTGTCCAAGGTTGAGGGATGGATGACGTGGTCGAACTCGTATTGGTAGGGCATCATGGATTTCGTGTCGGGAATCTGAATGACAGCATGAACCGACGCATCGCCTCTATTGATCTCGACAAGATTGCGGAACTGTGGCCCATACGTCATGCCTATGACGTCGAGACTTTCGTAGAATTGCCTTGGGTTAAGGGGCGTATGGCAATACTTTTGGACATATCTGTAAGCCTGGCGCTGGGCGGCTGTTCCAACCCTTTGCTCCATCTCTGTCGCAGGAAACACACCTTCGTTGCAATACACCACAGAGAACCGACCTTTGCAATGTGTTGTCCAGGGTCCATCCGTAGGTTTAGACAATAGCGAGAACGCGTAAGCAACAACAGGCCCATGGATGGGCTTTTCGTCCTCGTCGAGAAGATGTGTACTCAGCATGTGCTCGAGTCCTTCTGTTGACGCCGGAATGAGCATCGGCTTTGCAATTTTGAAGTCGGTCACTTCATAGCCCAAGATCGCCCGACTGTGGTCTGCGACCTGCTTCGCAGCTTCAATCGCCATCGCAATCATTCCACCAGCCGGATAGATGATGGATCTCTGAATGACATGATCCTTAAGCCAGGGGTTTTCTTGCACGCGGAAGAAGCCTCGCCAGCGAGGGTCTTGTGGTGTAGAGTTCTCCAGTGGTGCCCCAATGATATCTTCACGGCCATGACTTCGGAAGCGGTTTGCCTTGGACAAATGTGACTCATGCCAGTACTTTTTGGAATGATCCCATGGGTAAGAAGGGACGTCAACCAAATGGCGAGGTTTGCCTTCCGTACTTTTACTATAAAATGTTAGTCACCTTATCCCAAAACGATTGGAAATTCTATGATATGAGCAAGGTGGATGATAACGAACCTTGTGAGAAGCCAGTTGGAGTCAAAAGAAAACCCTTGTACCCAAAGGTGTCCCAGTGCTTCCAGTACTGTCAACAGCGCATCTCGGCTGCTATGAAGAAGAGACGCATAGCAAAACCGGACGGAGGCAGCTGCCGAACCTGTGCCCTGTAAGCTATTATGGATCTGATGAAGTGTGGACTCCCACACACGATGTGGGCTCACTTCGAGAAAACTGTGGGGATGTGCTGTTGCCATCAATGCTGAAACTGCTTGGTAGAACTGCACTGGTTGTGTCAGGTTTCTCACCCAATATTCGGTATCCAATGCCGAGGGTGGGATCTGTCTTCCAAAAACAGACGAGAAGAAAGCTGTCGAGCGGGACGGTGACAGGGGATGCCCCAGGTCCTTCAAAGAGCTGCGATATATATCTTCAATGACTTGCATGTGACGAGAGTGGTAGGCTGTGGTCACGTTGACTTTTGCGGCTCGACATCCTCGACCTCGGAAAAAGTCGTAGAGATGTGAGATCTCATCAATGTCTCCGGAAAGCGTAACTGATGCTGGGCCGTTTATGCAAGCGACGTCGATGGAATTGACGTTTGCTTCAGCAAAGCCGCGACGGGCATCTTCTTCCGAAAGTGCCACCGCAAGCATCCCTCCTTGTTGTTGAGGCTTCAATTTTGAAATTTGGCAGACACTCTGACCGCGGAAGTATGCTATTTTCCAAGCATCTTCGCGGCTGATGGCGCCGGCGGCGTACGCAGCTGCGATTTCTCCCGAAGAATGTCCAATGACAGATGTTGGCACAATGCCAGCAGAGAGGAGAAGGTCAACAAGAGCTATCTGGATGGCTGTGGTGGCTGGCTGAGAAATTTGTGGATCTGAAATATGGGAGAGTTCTTTGCTGCGATGAAGTTCAACCCAAAGGCAAAAGGGGCTTTCAAGGACGTCGCTCATGTACCAACTGGCCGTGGAAATGCTCGAGTAGAACGCCTGGTACTGGAGAAGCTCCCGTCCCATGGCATACCACTGTGCCCCCTGTCCACAGAAGACGAAAGCAAGTTCTTTTGGTGTGCAACGCACAGCTTGTATTGGCTTTGGCAAGCATTTGGTCTCAAGCTTTTGGTACAGCTCTGTGGCGGTCGAAGCAACAATAAAAGTGCGCCAGCTCAGACGGGACCGGCGCGATAGGAGGGTATAGGCATAGTTGGCAGCAAACCCGTCAGCGGAGGTGTTTTTGGCAACATACTTGGCCTGAGATTCGATCACTCGGGTGAGCCCTGCCTCGTCGTGACCGGAAAAGACGAAAAGGTGTCGACGGCGACATTGCTCACCCGTTTTGGTAACGTGGCTCCTTATTTCATCTCCGGGAAAGAGAAATGTATTGTGATGTCCACCGGTGATCCTGCGCTCAGAGAGAAAGTGATGTGCGTCATCAAGGACAACGTGAGCATTCGTTCCACCAAAACCAAACGAGTTGACGCTGGCACGGCGAAGACCAGGAACCGGCCACGGCGTAAGGCCGGTAGCAACCTAGCCGGGTCAGTGAAAATTCGTGGGAAAAGGGAATTTGATAAATAAGAAAGAGCATGTACCTTCAATTTCATTCGATTAAAGTCAATGTTTGGATTGGGAGTATCGAAATTGAGATGCTTGGGGATGAACCCGCGCTCAACGACAAGGATACCTTTGATCAGGCCAGCGACACCCGCACTTCCTTCAAGGTGGCCAATGTTCGTCTTGACAGAGCCAATATAAAGCGGATTCTCCGAAGTGCGGTGCTTGCAGAACAACTCAGTCGCCGCCTGTGTCTCTTTAACATCGCCGACCTGGGTGCCGGTTCCGTGGCACTCCATGTACGCTGTCCGGGTGATATCAAGCCCAGAAGTGCGGTATATGTCGCTCATATTCTGAACTTGGCGGGCTTGACTCGGGAGAGTAATACCTGGAGCTGAGATTAGCCTCCGTAACAAAACTGGAGACTGGTGCATGCCGTGCTACCGTGAAGCAAAAACGAACCTTGTGTGTGGCCATCCTGATTGCTGGCGGTTGCACGTATCACTGCCCGGATTGTGTCGTTTGCGGCAATGGCATCTTTGAGGCACTTCAGGATAAGAACACCTGTTCCTTCTCCCCGCCCATAGCCGTTGGCTCGTTTGTCAAAGGTATAACAACGACCGTCGGGGCCAAGGATGTTGAGATTTGCCATTGGCACAAGAGTGTTTGGCGAGAAGATGAGCCCAACACCAGCAGCAATGCACTGTATTGTCAGTTTACGACGAGCCAAAACAAAAGAAAAGAGACGAAACAAATCGAGAACAAGGGGACAAAACTCGTTACTGTCACTGACCACACTAGACTCGCCCGATAGTAAGCTTTTGCACGCTTGGTGCACCGCAATCATGCTTGCAGAGCAGCCGGTGTCAATGGTTTGGCTTGTACCCGCAAAATCAAAAGCGTGCGAGATTCGGTTGGCCAAAATGGCAATGCCATTCCCCGTTGCAGAATACGGGGGTGTTGTGTCAGGATCGCGCATGCATGGTTGCTCGTAATCTAATTTATTGTGCATGTTAGTACGTTGTCGAACTGCTCGAGACTCTCGTGCAGGAGAACTCACCTCGTACAAAAGAGCCGCAAAAGACGCTCGTGGCTGTGTTGGACAACGAAGCCACAGGAATTCCAGCTGCGTGTTGCGGGTGTTAGTAGCCTTGAAATGAGAAATGGCGTAAATGGGTTATCATGCAATCAACGTACCGCTGTCAAGAGCTTCATAAACGACTTCAAGTAGCATTCTTTGCTGGGGATCCATGGACACAGCTTCGGCTGTAGATATCGAGAAAAACTATGTGCACACGGGTTAGTACATGAAAAGATGGGGCAGGTCTCATCTCTGAAAACCGAAAAAAATTGCCATTCGATTTACGCATGAACTGTGACTTACAGGTGCATCAAAGGCTGCTATGTCCCCTTTGATGAAATGAGCGCCGCGGATATGGAACTAAGGCCAGGTCTGTTAGGTTCCTGCAAACGTAGAGATTAAACTGTGACGTCGCAAAAGGCGAAAGAATACAAAGAGAGACGAGAATACTGAAAACAACTCACACTGCCTGGCCGGTTGGGATCGGGATGGTACCAGCCTTTGGCATTGAACCGGTCGCTCGGAATCTCGGACCACGCATCTCTGCCGTCTCGGATCATCTCCCAGAAATTTTCGACATTGTCGGCATCGCCAGGAAACCGACACGACATGCCAACTACAGCAATGGCGTCGTCGGTGTTGCCGTCTGGAAGTGCATCGAAGGCATCCATGGCGGCGTGGAATATATGCCGTCCTGGCCGTTGGGTGAAGGCCCGTAAGCTTGGATCTGGTACAAATGCGCCAGTCGATTGCAAAACAAAGAACGCTGAAAAAAAAAAAAAAAAAAATACAGACTGAGCAATATGTAAAGCAGAAAAGCAGATCTCGCCCGTCAACCGTCAGGAAACTTAAATTGAAAAGACACAGAACCGGGGAAGTGAATGTATGCGGGTGGAGGCAGTGCAACAGCAAAGCAATGTATAATCTGTCAAAAATGAGACCGTGGTGGAAAGCTAAATGGCAAGGACAGAATAGGATCAGTGATGCATAGATCTGCAGGAAGAACAAAGGAAGAGGAAGAAAAGTGATTTGTAAAAGGGCATATGCTAAGGAACGGAAATCGTGACTTTAAAGTAGGGAAAGGGGCAAACGGAGGTTGTTGACTAGGAGCCAGAAATGGAAGGAGCGGCTAGAACTGGTGTAAAGAGGTTCAAAGGAGGAAGGAACGGCCCTTTGCGCCTGTCTCTAGGGATATAAAGACATAAACTCAGAAACAGAGAGATCCTAGGAAGGAGCACTCGTCATTCACTTTCTTTGCTGCGTTTGCACGGTGCTGTTGCTCTTTCTGTTTTTGGTGCGTGACGCGTGGCTGCGTCTTTTATGTGTTATATTGGCTGCAACGTCTCTGAGCAGTGAACGAACACTCGGGAGAAGAACAGAAGAAATGCCCGCCTCTCCTTTGTTTCCTTTGCTTTGTTTCTGCGTCGATGAGCAATAGCAGTTTTATGTTGATTGGCGACTTATACGATGTGTTCAATTCACCAATGGTGTAGAAGAGGGAAGGGGAGGGATGGAAGGGGCAATAAAAGAGGAAGAAAAAAGAAACTCACGTCGTGCACCTAGAGGGCGCAAGAGAAAAGCGAACCGGGATCACTTTTCTATCAAAGTGGCAAAAGCTTCTCGTCGCCGCGCTGTTTCTCAAGGGGGGAGGGGCCAGGCCGAGATAGTTCGTTGGGTGGCCTGGGCCCGGTCTGGTCCGTTTCTGGCCCTCACCGCTCCGTCATTCACGGTGATCCTGATTCAAAGGAGGACGACGAAAATCACAGGGGTTGGATCTGATGTTCTGATTTGTGGCTCTGAAGCCCCGGTCGTGTTCAGGTGTTGTCTGTCTCCCTTTGTTTTGCCACCGTCGTCGACGAGTCAGTTCCTCCCTATCCGGATTTTGGGAAAGCACATCAACCAGTCATGGAAAGAAGGATGGGCATCGAGGCTCGTCATGCCATCACTCCCAACGATCCCTTTCCTTGTCTCCTATCGTCGTTCCTTCTCCTCCCGTGTCCATTTCTTGTCTTTTCCCTATTTTGAGAAACGATAGGTGAGGGCACACGTAGTCTCCTGCCGAATCGGACACACGCCGGTTGCACAGTGTCCCTCGCCGACGCCGTCGATGGCTCAAAACGGAAACGCAGAGTTGCAGAAACTCTCTCCTGGGCAGGCGGGAAGAGATTCTACGAGCTGCTCGACAGGCCGAAAGGGGGGGTGGAGAGGGAGTGTGTGGATACTTGAGGGAGGACACACATACTACGCTCGAAAGATGTGTGACGTGGATGCAGTCATGAGAAATTTCCGACAACAGAAAATCAGGAAAATACAAAATTTGCAAAAATACAAGAAACCAGAAGAACATACAGCGGCGGCGGAGACGAGCCGTCTTGACTATCTGCCAGGTCTAGTTCGTAAAGCGGCGACGAAAAAAGAGCTTCGCCTTCCCCGGAGGAAGAATAAGAGACAGGTAAAAAGCAGATCGAAAGGCAAAACAAGACATCAAGACCATGAAACAACGAGATGGGCACACAGTAGCCAAGAAGCTCCATCCACACTGAAAACAGGTTTCAAGCTGGAGGAAAGATAGAAGGAGACTGAAGTCATTCTTAGAAAGTGTTGAGTACACTACTCACATCGTCCTCACTTGACCCGTGCACAAGGGCACCTGAGCACTCTTTTTTGCGCGCACTCACGCTCTCCCACCTCGGTATCTTTCTTCTAGGCGGTTTCATATTGCTCGAATGTCTTGTTTGGCTTCCTCTGGCTAATGTGGTGAATCGAGCCTGGGCTTTGAATGAGAACGAAATGGGTGAATGGAAATGGTAACCAGAAAGGTAAAGTGAGCCTCCGTCCTATTCCTTACGCAGGCGTTACCGCAATGGCCATACCTGCATATACCAGGTAAGGGACATGGCATTCAGTTTGTATGATATGGTCTAGACGGCGGGCCGAGTGTGAGAAACGCTAAAGTTGGGCGAAATCCCGCGCTGACGGCCGCCACTGCCATGAAATCATCTTGGACAGGAATCGTTTCTGTCTCTCTTTTGCTCATGTGAGGTCAATTGCTTCGTGTTGTGGATTCAGAACGCGCGGGGACTTGGCAGGTAGTGAAGCATGGCATGATTCCAAGTCACCGTCTTTTGACAGAGGGCGTCAGAGTGAATACCCGTCTGACATGCTTCCTTGCGGCACTCTGGGGTGGCCCTGTCAGGCTGTGCTTATGCCATTCACTGGACACTGTAGTGTGTCAAATAACCATAGCTGTTAGTGTCTTCCGTCCATATAAGTGGGACTAGGGTGATGACGGAGTAAATAAATAGCAAAGAATAAATAAATAAATAATATAAAATGAAATATATGCTCCACGGGATCCATAACAGATTTATTCTACCCTTATCGCGGCTCGAAGACGGAAAGGATGGAAAGAGGACAAGACGACAAGAAGTGCACTAGTACGATATACAAGTATGAGGCTTTGCACTCGTCTGACGGCTTTTCGCTGTGGTTACAGCGGCGTCTTGTTCTTGTATAACTAGATATTCCAGTGTCGACAAAAGAGAGAGAAAAGAGAGAGAAAAGGCAGCTCAGACTGATTCGACGAGTTTCCTACCTTCTGTTTTCGTTCAGATCAAGAGATGGGACTTTTCCGATTTGGACAGTCATAACTAGAAGTGGATAGTTGGACGACCATCAACACTACTCATGTTGTGCCTCCCATCTTCTTTCCACGGTCGGCAGAATTGCGGCTTCCATGGCCCAGCCATACCACCGAGGTGCAAACATCAAAGCGTTGCAAGTATCGAAAACCGCGGCGCTTCAAGAATAAACACCAAATGTTGTAGATGTACCCTCGCATTAGCGATTTCGTACACGAACACAGTCACAACCAGGTGAACATGGGCTCGTAGTTCCTATTCGTTAAACCGATTTTTTCGGGTCTTTTCTGTCGAGCAACAATGCTCTTCCGTGCTGCATTTACCGCTCCATCAAGAGTGGCCAAGGAGACCGAAAGGCGCCACAATAGACATCGCACGAGAGGCAACTGCCATTAGGTTCGCTGTTTTGTGCTTGTGCTTGTGCTTGTGCTTGTGCTCGAATACGCCCGTAACGCTTCACATCCACAACGGAAAAGGGAGGGGGAAGAGATCGCCGTTTCACACGGGACTGGAGAGCGCAGGATCTGGCAACACCCAATGGCAAACAACCCGATGACTGCGAAAAACGTTTGAGCCAGAAGACAAAACACGACGAAGACCTCGAGGGATGGTAACCTAGCGACAAAGCCACACACACGTGGTCCATCGACCATAATGATTCCGGGGGGAGGCAGAAATGGACGCGACAATGTCAGCAAGTGCGTAAACAGTTTCCATTAAAATCAAGCGGCGGCCAGAAGAGACACAACAGAGCTAGTTGTGGGTGCAGTCCAAGCACCCGCCATCTGCATCATCTCACCATTAAGACAAATAACGTAAGTCGTCGGGCATTTCGCAAAATACCGTGTCGACTTTGTGGCTTCATCGCGGCCAAATAGGAAAAGCTGCCGGCTGCATGCCTTTGGAGCGTGGTCGTGGACAAAAAGCGGGATTCTTGCAATCGGGACTAGTTGGTCTTGTCCTCTCCATCTTGTTGGTGAGCGGGTTTTTTGGTATGTGAGGCGATTGTAGGTCTGATGAGAGCCCGAGAGACAAGACAAACGCAAAAAGCTACGAGCAGATTCTAGAATAAGGAGGGTTGTTGTCTTGATCGAATAGGGGGGATGACTAATAAAACGAGCGGGGTGATCCAAAACGGCAGCGACGACCTTGTCAACAACGCCTTCCTGGAGATCGCCATATGGCATTCAGGGAAAGCGCGACCGGCGAGCAAGGAACACGGCATCTGCCTTGGGGTCTTGTCGATGGAGGCTTTTGCCAGCCTGTCAAAACATACACAAAAACAAGAATTTGTCATAACCAACAACGCAGTGCCTTTCCAGTGTTTTGCTCAGGTCATACAGCATGGGCATTGGCTTGCAAGTTGACTGAAGACTTTGGGTTCATGTTTGTCCTCCAGCCCAAGTGTTCCGTTTTACCTTAACTGCTTTTCTTTCCCATCTCATACTCTGCCACGCCTTCTAATTTTCAATCAGGATGGACGATCCAAGGCACATACACCGCGCCTAAGGCGACAAAGAATCGGCAAGTGTTCTGCAGGACGTTTCTTGCGCGGAGTGTCTGCCGTTCCAGACGCTCACCTTGCGTCGTCTGCCGCCACACGTCGCCGCGCCGACTGGCCATTGTCTGATCATTTCAACGATACCGTATGGTCTTGGCCATCCCGGTTTAGAGCGGCCCGACACACAACAAAACGAAAGGGAAATAATGAATACCATCCTGCATACCGGAATAGATGACTGTGAAAGTCCAAGGTTCTGTTGTCGAAATGATTGCGAGATCACGCTCGATATGGACCTCTCCATAGTGTCAGCATTGACGGAAATCTCCGAAACCTCCAAGAGTTCTGAAACGCTTTATTTCACACTTACGCTTTCTTTCCTCACCACGACGGCCACCGCCCCTTTTCATGTGCATGTGTGGGCTGAAGGCTCTGAACTTCATCAAGTTTCTTTTCGAGAGGTACGTCGTACTGCTGCAGACAGAGTGAAACGGGCGCACTCTTACCGATACCTCCATCGATGCTCTGGTGCCTCAAACTTTGGAGGGCAAGATCATATCTTGTGCTTGGCCAGACGCGTGCGAGTTGGGTGTATGGGCGTGCATGTACTTCCAGAATTCAGAGGCAGAAGAAGGTGAGTGTGTTTCTTTGCTTTCTAGAGTGATGAAATTCGAAAAAAAAAAGTACGACGTCCGAGCGGAAGGTGAGCGTATTCTTGTTCAGCCGTGTCGAATAGCACATGCCGGACTTCTACGAATCAACGAGATCGAACAAGTACGATGTGAGCGTTTCGCGGCAACCGAAACAACCCAAAACGAGGACAACGTGAAAGAAATTCCTGAAAAAGAGCAAGACGGGCAATTTTTGAGGAAGAGGAAATAAAACAAGTCTCTTTAATGCCTAGTGGCGTACGGGGAGCTTAACGGCCCAGAGACATCGGCAAAGACATGTCGACCCCTTTCGTCTCTGTCCGGCTTCGTCTTTGCTGTTTCCGAGCCACCGCCTGTCTCGCACGGAGCGTTGGAAATATTGGTGTCTTTGTTCTTGTCGTGTATTTTTTTGTCCTGTCGTCTTGTCGTCTAACAGGATATCGCAGAGGGGCGGATATCAACGGCAGCAGCAACTGAGCTCTCCGGTCCTACGTCGATTTGGAACGCGGCGGCCCAAAAGCGTCGCACAAGAACCTCCAGAAACAGTGCAAAACGCTGAGACACAATGAAATTACTGTTTTGACCGTCCCTTTCGTTTTTCTCTCTCTTTTCGCTGACTCTCACTGACCTATCAGCGCGGTGCAATAGTCTTCGAATAGCGACAAGTTCTGTGCGACGGTCCCTCTCCGTTCACTCCCTGGGTTAGTGCTAGTGTTTTGTTTAACTTTGTCTTATTTTCGCCTTTTCTATCCCTTGTCAGTGCATCAATCTCTTTTTTTTTTACACCTGGCCGGGTGAGTTGGCCAAATTCAGCTCGACGACAAGTCAAATCAACGGCAGTCATCATACACACCTTGCGTTTCTGACAGGCCAGGAATCTATTCTTGGCTGAGAGTCCATTTCTCCCCTGGCATTGACCATTGTGCACGCAATTACGGTATGCATCGTGGATGATATGTCGTGCAGCTGCTGCCTGCTGTGCCATGGGTCGACTTATTGTTGACTACACAGAGGACCAGCCAAACCACTATCGCCAACTTTCTGCCTAACCGCGCTGAATTCAACCTCTTTCTTTTCTCAATCACCGGTCCGTTCTATTGTTATTTTACTCTCTGTATCCCTGTGTCTCCGTCTGCCGTTTTGACCCGCGTTTCGTACATATCCAAGGTCACAACTCACAAATGCACACCGCAACACCAACCCTCGGCATTGGTGAGAGACTCAAACCCGTGTCGAGTGATCCAATCATTAACAGCTCTCATTCTAGGACAAGTATGATCCAGAAAGCTATTCTTGTCGCTCGGAGAGCCGACGCTGTTCGGCGTTCGATCCTTCCCGTGGCCGATCTCGCCTCTTTGATAGTCCTCTTCTCTCGCAACGCGTCCGCTTTCGCCAATATGCCCCCAGTCAGTTGCACGCAGCACAACACCCGTCAAATACCCGGCTCCTTTGTCCTTTGTGACACGCCAAAATACTTTTGTGTTCCACACAAATCACAAGGAGCTCGCCACTCAACAGAGACTTGGATACCAGGCTAGGCTTCATAGTACATTTATTTTCTAGTATATGAGACTGGCATATCCTGTCCAGGGTCACGAGTCTCCAGGGACAGGGTTTGTCGATAGCCGAGAAACCCATCGAACGATTCCGCTCAGATGCCTCCTTACCGCTCTAGAAATCAAGGATATTTCATCTATGGCCATCGTGTCAGCTTTGTCGTCACACGAACCCTGAACGGCCATCCTGGCCGGCAAATTGTTACGCGGCGACTCACTCATCCAAACAGCAACCGTACAGCTGACGGATTTTGTGTTGGCTCATTCAGCACAGTTGATGCTCCATCTATACGACTGACCAGGGCCATCCCGCTTCTGGTTTTATTTCACGCACGCAACTAGAGAGCAACGAAGCACAAGACGGCTTGGCGTCGTACAGCCAGAATCTTCTTTGGGCGCGAGGTAGCCGAATTAGACGGACTGGTTCCCTGTACCATGGCCCTTGATGGTGTTCCTATGTGGTATCTGGTTGTGTCTTCCTTTTAGCTTTACTATTCTGTATTCGGCGTCTCTGCTTGTGGTGCTTTCTTAGACCAGGTGGGCATCATTGTTGGAGCTTTGTCTCTGTGTGCAACGCGGACCTATCCCACTGCCCTTACCGCCTCACCACGTCTTTGGATCACATTTTCTCACGACCTCCTCGACGTCAAGTGTTTTGGTTTTGCCGCTCTTCTTGGCCGTCCGCTAGACGAGATGAATTAATCCGTCTCGGGAGTTGTTCCAGAAGCCTGTCGAGACGTGATGGACTCTGTCTTGTATTTTCACACTACCTTCCTTTCACTGTTCTGTTAGAATTTTCTTCTTACGCTTCTTACGCTTCTTCCCAACCTATTACTTACCTTCCATTGCACAGAACCATAGACCCGACACAGGAAGCTTAGACATGCAGATGCGGAGACCGTCTGTACCTGGCCAACACCACGCGAGACACCAAGACACCAGGAACCGGACCAGAATCGCTACGTGGAGCGGCCGTGGCAAAACGAGTACGAAGAAACTGGCTAGATGGGTCACAGCGACAGGATGAGGCATGCCGCGAATGTCCATCGCTTTCTCACCCTACTCTGCTCCGCGCCCGCATTCATTCGTTCCTTCGCACGTCACATCGCCGCCTATTGTTTTTTGGATCCCAACTTGACTGGCATTCTTACCAGTCTGTCACCTTTCTTTTCCTATCCTATCGCAGCGCTCATTTTATTCTCGCCAACCCCAGTCTCGCCAATTGAGTGACCTCACTCCGTGCACTTTGTTTTGCACCGTGTACACTCGTTTCCGAGCGTTGCCTTCGATGCTATGTTTTCCTCGCCTCAGGCACCTACACCTTTTATCTCTTCCTCTGCTTGCATCACTTTTAAACGCTTTTGCGGTGGTGCATTTGGCGCATTCCAATATCCATATCCGTCATTAGTCTACCCCTCCCTCTTTTTTCTCTCTCTTTTTGTTGGTTTCCCTATTTGCATAGTACTCTTCTCTGCCTCGAGATATATATGGCTCTGTCAAGACCTCCAGATCCCTCTCATATCCTGTGCACCCATAGACTGTCAACGCTTGTTGTTCTTTGTTGGCGTTATTGCAAGCCACAACTTTCTCGCTTGTCTCGCTTCCTTGCGTTCTTGCTCTTTCTTTCTCTTAAATCCCGACGCCCTCAAATTTCTCTCTTCTATTCATCACAACTCGTCGCTGTCTTTACAGTACGTCTCAACATCTCCATTGCTTTCGCCAACCACAGCGCTCGATGCTCGGCCTCCATCGTCCCCTAAGCGGCTCACTTTGCTCTTACATCGGACACACTCTTTCAGCGACCTAATTTCTGTTCTTTCCTTACCAGTCAGCATTCAAAAAGTCAAACCAACCCCTTGGAATACACGGTTTTCATATCCCTCTCACGTTCATGCTATTGCGGCATCATGATCGATCTATCGCCCCTCGCTGCACGGCCGCCGTTGCCACCTCCACGCCGGCCTCCACTACCTCCAAAGCCTCCTTCCCAATCATATGCTTCACCCCAGCAGCAACAGAAGCATCAACAGCGGCTGCAACAACAGCAGCGACCCTCAGACGACCACACCGACCCTTTTTATCGGCTCAATTTTGACTCGGAGCTGTATGGGGATGCATTTCCTCGAACGCTCCACAACTTGGTCGAACTTCGGGAAGAAGAGTCCCGCGCGGCACGGGCACGGGCCGCGGCAAGGGCCGCTGCAAGGGCAAACTCGATAGCGACCGTGCCAAGGCGTGGCCGAAGACTGCGGCGAAACCTGCTCATGGCTTGGTGAGTTTTGCCTACCACGACTGCTTCAGCGATAGTGTTGTAGTAGCTGACGACGGCCTCTCTTGACAACAGTATTTTACTCGGCTTCTTTTTCTCGCTGCTCGATACGACCATCATCTCAACATCCCTCTTGGCGACATCGGAGGATCTGAATGGCTTTCGGGACTCCTCATGGGTGGTGATAGGATATTTATTAACATACATGGGTGTGTATGATGTCAAAAGGAGCGGCCGACGAAGATCTGCTAATTAACGCGCTCTTAGGCTTCTCTATTTTCTTCGCCAAGCTCAGCGACATCTATGGCCGGCGCAACATTCTCATTTCCTCATGGATCATCTTCGTGATCAGCTCCGTTGCATGCGGTTGCTCCTATGATATGACACAGCTGTGAGTTGTACTTGACTGCTTGACGACTCAACTACCAGCCACCACTAGATAATGCCCAAAACTAACACGCCCTTTGCAGTATCGTGTGTCGCTCGTTCCAAGGCATTGGAGGCGCCGGCCTCTACAGCCTCACCACCATCAGTCTTCCCGAAATTGGCCCTGCACACAAGCCTGATGTCATCGGAAAGATTATTGGTATCACGCTCTCGCTGTCTTTTGTGCTTGGCCCCGTCCTAGGTGGCTTCATTCCCCAGGTCTCCAGCTGGCGGGTCATTTACTGGCTTAAGTAGGTGGTAGGATGCACTGCGCTTTGCTATGCTGTATACCGATACTAACTCGACTCCTCTTTCCAGCGCCCCTTTCGCCGTTGTCGCCATAACGGGTATTGTTTTCTTATACCCAGTCGAGCCGACGCGATGCCACGGCACAAATCGAACCATGCGAAGAGTCGACATGATTGGCAGTCTTCTGCTATTGGCCAGTTGTGTGCTGCTCGTGATCGCCATGCAGGAGGCCGGATCGCTGATCGTTCCCTGGAATAGCCTGTTGGTTCTCACCAGCTTGACATCTGCGGCCATCTGTTTTGCGCTATTCATGGGCTGGGAGTCCTTGCTCTCCTCGGGCCGCTACTGGGAAATGGAGCCAATTTTCCCTTTGCGCTTGTTGAAGAATCGTGTCTACCTCAGCTGCCTAATGGACAAGTTTCTGGTGGGCTACGTGTATCTTTGCCTCGTCATTTCCGTTCCTCAACGCTTCCAGATTGTCAACGGCGAAAGCGTATTCAAGACTGGCCTGCATCTTTTGCCCATGCTCGGCGGGACAGCGTTCGGCTGCCTGGTCACTGGTCCTCTCAACGCGAAAAAGAACCATACCTCACCAGTGGTTGTGGTGTCGTGTGTCTTGATGCTCATTAGTGTCAGCCTGCTTGCTACGGTCAACTCGACAGGCTACAAATCGGGGCCCTTGTACGCCTATTTGGCCGTGTTTGGCATCGGCTTCGGACTCTTCATGTCGGCGGGCACTATGCTGTCCACGGCGCAAGCACAGTTGGACGACCATGCAGCCGCCCAAGGCGCCATTTCGCAACTTCGAATCCTTGGCGGTGTCATCGGCTTGACGACATTCACCATCATTTTCAACGCCAGGGTACAGTCGGCCAACGTTCTCGAGACACTCACGCCTATGCAAATGGACGTTCTGCGCCGGTCGCCGACCGCGCTCGTCGAAATCTGGCCAGACTTAAAGCAACTGATTGCAGGCACCTACAGCGCCGCCTTCCACGACATGACATCCATCCTGGCAGGAATTTCGGCTCTTGCCTTGCTCGTCAGCCTCGGCACGCTCGAAAAGAACCCGCCACCGATTCATCGCAATTTCAACAAAGAAAAGGAGTGTTTAACGGGCCGGGGCTCCGACGATATTGAGCTCGACGATGCCGCCAGTGATCGGTCGCTTGTTGAGTATCGTGCGCCCATTGGAACGGACCCGGTGCCGGCGCTCTATCCACCACCGCGAAGCCACTTTCCAAATCGCGTTTCGCAACGTCCAACACAAACAAGACGGTGGGACTGAAGGCCTTCGTTCGGGTACACGTTTCGACTCTATATGCCTACGTATTTACTAAGATTTATGCTTTTTTATGCTGTTGTCGTTGTCGTTGTCGTTGTCGCTTTGTTTATACACAATTCTTTTCAGATTCGTTGCTTAAGGGCATTTGTTCTAAGACAAAGACTTATATTTCTCTCTACATTCACCCACTGCTGCATACTTGGCGTTACTGGCACCTCTGGATTGCTATCTGGGCTCCTTCGGCTTTTGATTTAATACGGTCCTGTTTTTAGATCAGGGTCAGATTAAAATTAGGACCGGGCACGGCGAAAGCGAAAAAAAAAAAAAAAAAAAAAAAAAACGCCTACAAACAAATTCAATACATTTATTTCTTGATTCAAGAAGTTAGCTATCATCACCAGGAACTGTCTGTGACAAGGTAAGACCTGTTTTCCTTTCACGTCGTACAGGACTCGGTAGATATTGCTGCTTTGGTGGCTAGTCTAAGGCCGTGAGAGGACGAGGGTCGAAGCCGAAGACCTTGCACAACGGCACGGAGTACAAAAAATCTCTCAAAAAAGGGTATCGGAGGGTTGATAAAACGAAAAAAAAAGTGTTTTCCGTTTTAATTTGCCGTAGCATAACTTCAGCGTAGAACGAGACAGTCAATACAATCGGAGTCGAATTCCGTGCAATTCCCAGAAGCGGCGATGTGGAAGGCAACCCTATAGTGAAGATTTGGCGTAAAATAAGTTAATAAACAGATCCGCTCGTTAATAGCCAAAACCAAGTCAGCAGTACCATCATGCATGTCATGACAGGCGAGTGCGACCGTTTGGTTCCCCAAGCTCTTTTCTGCGCGCACCATTCGGCTGTATGTAGGTCTAGCAGGACCACACTTGCCTAGCACATTTGATACGACTGTGTCTGTTAGGATCTGAACGTGTGAGTTTCTATAGCAGCAGTTTATAAACTTTAAATATCAGACAAAAGCAGGTCAAAGGAAAACAATAAATGTAAGGTATATGATTTTCGGCCGTCGCGTCTCTGCGGCATCGGTGCAACACCGGCTGACAAATAGCACCATCGTCCATGCAATGCAGTCATCTTCTTCATGAATTCTCCAGAGCCACCTTCTCTACAACCCTACTCGAGCTTCGCCAGTGCGGCCTCCAGCGTCTGACCCGTCAGCCGCTCGTACACGTCCGTATACCGCTTCGACGTCTGCTCGACAATCTCGGGCGGCATTGTCACGCCCTCTTTGCCCTTGAGGCCCTCCTTCACCAGCCAGTTGCGCAGAAACTGCTTGTCCAGCGAGTCCTGCTCGCGGCCGGCCTCGTACTGGTCGGCGACCCAGAAGCGCGACGAGTCGGGCGTCAACACCTCGTCGGCCAGCACGACCTCGCCCGTCGCCTCGTCGAGGCCAAACTCAAACTTGGTGTCGGCAATGATGACGCCGCGCTTCAGGGCATGCTCGGCGGCCGCCGTGTAGACGGCCAAGGCCAGCTCCTCGATGCGGGCGGCGTGGGCCGGGTTGCCGATGAGCGCGGCGGCCTGGGCACGCGAAATGTTCTCGTCGTGGGCGCCCAGCTCGGCCTTGGTGGACGGTGTGTAGACGGGGGCCGGCAGCTTCTGGCAGCGGACCATGCCCTTGGGAAAGCGGACGGCATCGGAGCCGCTGTCGGCGACGCCAACGGGCTCGCCGTGGACCGTGCCCTTGGTGCTGTACTCGGCAAACGCCGAGCCGGCCAGGTAGCCACGGACAATGGCCTCGACGGGGAACATGCGCAGGCGGCGGACACGCATGACACGGCCGCGCAGGATGGCACGCTCGGCATCAGAAATCTTGGCGGTAGGACCGGGGGCCAGGGACAGCAGGTGCGTGGCGAGAGGCGCGGTCTGGCCGGCCAGAACGCCGGGCTTGGACAGGACGCTGAACCAGTACGCAGTCAGCTGGGTAAGCACGTTGGCCTTGTTGGGGATGCCGTTTGCGAGGACGACATCGTAGGCGGAAATGCGGTCGGTGGCGACGAAGAGCAGCGACGACTGGTCATCCTCGTCGACGAACATCTCACGGACCTTGCCCGTGGCGATCTTGGTCAGACCGGGAAGGTCAACAGTGGTGACGGCGGCCATGCTGGCGGAGTGGGGAGAACGTTGTGAGGAGATCAGCTGTGACGGAGGCCGAGATTGGCTGAACGTGAGGCTTTTCGAAAGGGCTTAGGATTTTTTGTAGATGGTTACTTCCTAATTGGGACTCGAGGCCCGTGCTGCAAGAAGCGTTTTCACGGCCGTGGTATAAATTGTAGAGTACAGTGTAATGTCACGCAAAGTCAAACTTTCAAAACCAATTGGACTTTTCCTGAAGATTCAGAGTCGATACCGCAGCATGAGCTTAGGCAAGGCTGTTGTCGTCTTGAAAATCCAGCTCCGGATTCGCTGAACAAGATGTGCAGACGGATCGCATCCAGCCAATCAAAGGCCATTCCGCGTGTATCGAAAGATGAGTCATCATTTGATCACGTGGAGCGTCACGAGCGGGCATCTGTATCAACGATACGTGGTGCACGCGAGGGACATACATGGGCAATGTACGAGGCACATGGAAAATACTGTACTTGCAAAACAATGGTACAAATATCTTACAGACGATCACTGGCAACGTCTCGGACGGGCGCCGTCCACATCCGTGGTTCGCGTATGTCTCACGTTGCGGTGCGTCGCGCTTGAAGCAGCAGAAAGGTGGGATAAAAAAGCAAAAAGGAACGACGATAAAAAATAACATGTGTTTAATTGATGTAAGAAGAAACTGTACTCGCCTTGCATCATCAATTTGCAGGAGCCAAACGTTGAGCAAAACGGGGGCCGAAACACAAAAAGAATGACAGGAGTGGGACTCGAACCCACGCACCTTTCGATACTGCAAGTCAACCAAATTTTAATCTGGAAAGAATAATTCTTGAGTGCAGCGCCTTAACCGCTCGGCCATCCTGCCTGTTTAGAACTGGTAATTGGAGTCCGTTGGAGGGTTTATAAAGACCAGCACAGCTCCACCTTTCACATGTAGTCACTTTTTGCCCTCATTTTCAAGCCATTTCGCACCCACCATCCGCCACTTTGGTCACCGGAGATGCCCTCATGCCTCACTCTAAGCTGCACCAAACACTTAGTGGAAAGCTGGAGGGCATAAGGGCCTGCTAGCTTTTCCGTTTTGCTTTTTACGCCGTTTCTATCGGCATATCCTCTCCATACTCATCAGCCGTCGGCGCCGAAGGCTTGCCCGTGATTTCGCCAACTATCTCGATTCATCGTCGTAAAGGTCCTACGTCGGACTTCATGTGATTTTCGCTCGGCCAAGGCTGCCAAGGCTAGGCGCGTTGGCGCATGACACTGGCGAGCCTGGGCGCTGAGACCAAGACAAAGAGCGCTGTGGCTACCTCTGCCCAGCTCCGACAAAGCAGTGTAAGATACAACATGCAACATATTGTGCGTGTGTGATTACTTCGTGAAGCCGCCACAAGAGGAAATAGAAGGAAAGCGCAGGCTGTGTTGTCCCTCTTGCCCCTTGCCACTTCCTCCTCTTACCACTGCTGCCTTTCCCGTTTTGCGCAGCACCGTTGCATCGCCGTTTATGCGTAATTCCATAGCAAGGGCCCAGTCAAACCCAAAATAAGGGCGTCAGACGTCCAAGGCTCTGGGCAAATCAGCATCACGTCGCCCCCTTGACGAACTGTTAGCGTGTCCTCGTGGGCGCCCCGGCTGGGGCAGGGCAAGACCGTCCCGCACAGTAGGCGCTAGCCGCAACGCACTAAGGGACGCCAAAGGGTAGGGGCTGATGGCGCAGTGGCTGGTCTTCGCATTAGCCGTTGTTTGTCGATTGAATTCAGGGTGAACTTGTTGTCGGTGTATTTTCCCCAGCCTTTCTTTCTTCTCGCCGTCCTTACTCTAAGCGGCGCAGAGCCGCCGAAAGATGTACTTTTCTTATCTTTTTTTTTTTCGGACGAAAACGTATCTGAATAGATTTCGGGCTTCTTCTCCATCGTGCTTGCCTTGTTGTTTATGCTTTAAAACCTCTCTTTCCCCACGCATTGTCTTCTCCTTCCTTGTTTAAATTACTGCCTTACTCGACTTGAGTGCCAGAATCGCATAATTTCTACCCTCTCTCAATTTTCCTGGTACATGGGCTGGGTCGGTCCTTCCTCTTGCGGCTCGATATTGCTCGTCTGCCTTCCTTCCTTCGTGCCTTTCTGCCTTTCTCACCAGCCTATTGTTTCCGGAGCCACAATCTGCTCTGAGGACTCCGTGCAGAGCTCCTGAATAATACGTCCCTTGCCAGGCATTCCTTGCCCTCCTTGCAGTTCTCGAAAAGCCGTCAGCTCCATAAAACGAGTCGGGGCGCACCTTTTTGGGTGTAAGAGTGGATACGACATCCTTGCAGCTGTTCGTTCCTGCCTAGACTGCATCAAGCAACAACACGAAGAAGGAAATAAGGAACCGCCGCGACCCCGGTCCCCGCGCACCTTCCTTGGACACTCAGCTCAGAAAACTGCCTTCGTTTGCGCCTTCCCCCTATTGTTTCCCATATTGACAATACCGGGTGCTCCTGCTGCCCTTGTCCCCCTCTCATTGGTTCTGGATCTTCCCAGAGCCCCAAATCGCGATTTTGTTTTCAACCTCGCATCTCACTCTTACATTGCGCACTCTCACGCATTCCTTCCATCGCCCTCATCATCGACCTCCTTTGCGCGACCGCGCAAGCTCAACAAACGCCACAATGCGGACCGGCTCTGTCTTGGAGTCGCTGGCGCTCTTCGTTGCCACCACATCAGCCGCCAATGTCGTCGAAATCGGCATCAACAGAATACGGCCCAGCCAGGAGGGCCTCGCCAACACCCTGAGAAGCCGCGCCTCCTCGCCCAGCACCTACATCGAGACGCTCGTCAACAACGTCACTGGTGGCGGCTACTACGCCAGCGTCAACGTCGGCACGCCGCCCCAGCCGCAGGTCCTGGTGATCGACACGGGCAGCAGCGACGTCTGGGTCATCGCGTCTGATGCCGATCTCTGCACCAGCTCTGCTCTGCAGCACAAGTACCGCGACACCTGCTCCCACACGTACGACTCGTCCAAGAGCTCGACGTACAAGCTCGTCAGCAGCGAAGGCTTCGACATCAGCTACCTCGACGGCACGGGCTCGAGCGGCGACTACATTGCGGACACGTTTGAGATTGGCGGCGCCAGCATCAAGTCCCTGCAGATGGGCCTCGCCTCGCAGACCATCCGCGGCACAGGCATCATGGGCATCAGCTACTCGGCTAGTGAGTCGACGCTGGACACCTACCCGAACCTGATTGACCAGTTCCAGGAGCAGGGCCTGATCGCGACCAAGGCATACAGTCTGTACCTCAATGACTTCCGCTCCGACTCGGGCTCCATTCTGTTTGGCGGCGTCGACAAGGACAAGTTTATCGGCAACCTGACCACCATGCCCATCCTCCAGACCAAGTCCTCCAACGGCACGGCCGGCCACAGCGTCCTGGCCGTTGCGCTCAACTCCATGACTGCGGACCCCGGCACGGGCAAGAACAAGAACCCCGTCAGTCTTCCCTCGGGCCAGCCGCTGCCTGCCATCCTGGACTCCGGCACCACGCTCTCCTACCTGCCCAGCTCCGTGGCCAGCTCGCTCTTTAATGCTATTGGCGCCTATACCGACGATCTTGTGACTGGCTACACGTTCATTGACTGCGACGGCCCGGACAGCTTGTCCTTGACGTTGCAGCTCGGCCAGGCCGCCACGATTGAGCTGCCCAAGTCGCAGATCGTGCTTGACGTGTTCCAGGGCATGCAGAGCCAGATCCCCTCCAACGTGCCATTCTCCAACGCGTGCCTGTTTGGCTTCCAGGACATTGGTACCGCCTCGTCCTCGTCGCTGTCGGTCATTGCCGCCAACAACATTGCCGCCACCTCGGGCAGCTCCTACGCGCTGCTCGGCGACACCTTCCTGCGGTCCTCCTATGTCGTCTACGACCTGACCAACAACGAGGTTGGCCTCGCCCAGGCCAACCTCAACAGCACCTCCTCCAATGTTGTCGAGCTGCAGGCGTCCGACGTAGGCATCCCGACACTGACGGGCGTCACGGCCCAGCAGACCACCTCGACCTCAAGCTCGGGTGGTAGTGGCAGCGGTGGCTCCGGCGGCGGCTCCGGCACCACCAGTGGGAGCGACGGCGGTGGCACTGTCACTGTCACCGCAAGCCCCAACTCGAACGTCGCAACCGGCCTGGTTTCGGGCCCCAACTACGGTGTCTTGGCGGCGGCCGGTGCGGCCTGCCTGGCCTCGTTCCTGGGCGGTGCCATGGTCATGGCATAAACGTCTCTTTTGTCCCTTTCTCTTTATCTCTCTCTCTCTCTACATCATTCTTTTGATTATCTGTTTTCCATTGTGTATATTACCTTTTTTTATTTATTTACCATGCATAATTTCGTGGTCAGCTGGTTGTACCAATTGGGCTGCGGAACGAGACTTTTTGGGTTACATATCCACATATGCACCATGCACATACTTAGTATTATAATTTACAAAATATAGAACTTAAAAATAGTGGCAACGCCAAAAGAAATCCATATGCCATGATAGCCATGGACCTGTAGCGCATGCTGGGCGTTAATTCTCCTCCTTGAAAATGGCGTCTTCGTCGTCTTGTGCAGCGGCAGCGGCGGCTTCCTCTGCAGCGGCAGTAGCTGCTGCAGCTGCCGCCGCTTCTGCCTCTTCTCGCTCCAAGGCCATCAATCGTTGCCGCGCCGTGTCTCGCGTCTGCTGCACAAAGTCTGCATACGTGCTCTCCGTCCGCCGCGCTGCCACGTCCGCCGCGTCGCCTAGTTTGCCGCCCTGTGCACCCAGGCCCACACCCGACCGGTAGGCAGCCAGTGCGACCGCTTCGGTGAGACCGCCGCCCTGTGCGCCCAGTCCTTGGCCGGCCGTCCAGCCCATCTTACCAAGCAGAGCAGCGCCCTTGGAAGGGGTAGCAGTCGACGTGGCAGCAGATCCTGCCTCGTGCTTGCCGGGCCGCTTGCTGCCGGCCGACCTGCCCTTGGTACTGTCGCCATGTACGAGGCGCCGTTCGCGGGCCCGGTCTCGGTATTGTGCGGTCGTAGTTCCTGCCGTCGAGGGTGCGGCCGGTCGCATGCGAAGGAGGGGTCGTATGTGGAGTCTAGGAGCCGTCGTAGTTGGGGGCACATTGCCCTCGTTTTGTTCTGGGCCAACATCTCCCTCCTTTGTAGAATCGTCCTTGCGTTGTAGTTCGGCGTCCTCTACCGCTTTGTTGACAGCCGCCACGGCTGCCGCCACAGACGCTGGATCGCGGGTGCGCGCCCGGTGCAGAGCACTCTCACGTTCGTGCAGACGAAGCATTGCGCGGCTTCGAAAGCGCCGCCCACACAGGAGACAGGCATGGTACAGAGTGGCACCGGTGTCGTCGCTGGAACTCGGGACTCGTATAGGCGCAGCATACGAGGTATACGTCGGCGCAAGGTCGCCGCGACGACGGGGCAGTCGTTTGATGTGGACCGGCGGTCGATCGATTTTGGGGCCAGAGCCAGACTGGCGGTCCTGGCGGTCTCGGTCGGCCAAGGTGTCGTCTCCATTCGATTCTGCCGCGTTGGTCGCCGCCGCTTCGTTTTGGGCAATCTTGGCGTACCGATGTAAGGCCGTCTTGCGTGCAGTGCCATCGCGCAGCTGCCGCCGGTGCCGCGACGACAGTGCCTCATGATCGCGCAGCTGCTGGCGCGAATCGAAGCGCACGAGACAAAGCAGACAAGTCGGCGGCAACGAGGACGTCGCCGTCGCCACGGCAGCGGCTTTTTCGCCCATTGAGTTGCGCCCCAGGCCGGCCCCGATGCCAAAGGACACATATCGGTCGCGGCGGTGGGGCGCACGGAGCTGCTTGGAAAACGGAAGCGTGCTGGTCTTTGCAAGTTTTGCCGTCTTAGTCCTGTTCTTGCTTCCCTCTAAAGACGTGCCGAGCCTCGCCTTCTTGCGTGGTCGGCCGCTTCCGTCGGTGGCGCCGCCGCCGTCCTCGCCGCTCTCCCCATCTCCCGTCGCGACGTCTGCGCCGCCTCCCAGCTCCGCCGTCATCTTGGCCCATTTTTGCACCTGGCTCTGCATTCGCGGTGCCATAGCGGTCGCTGCTGTTGCCATTCGCTTTTCTTTCTTGGCCGCCGCGACGGCTGCTGAGACTTCGTGTTTGCCGGCGGCCGAGCCACCGCTGTCGCGGGCAGCTGCCGACGTCGGATTGGGCGCCATATTTATGAGGCGTGTCGCTATGACGTCTGTGTAAACATTGGCGTGGATGAAGAGGGAGATGGTGTTGAGGTATTGCATGAAGTTAGACGCCGTTGACGAAAACACGTGAACCAGTTGTCGGTTCTGGTTGAATACAGGAATGGAAGGCGCGGACGGCCAAGCACTGTTGCCCCATAGGCTAAATTTAGCAAGCCACGGTAAAACAGCAGGTGCATTTGGATGTGGCTAGCGCACTGTTCAACACCGATAAGGAAAGGGCGACCCTGGAGCCAAAGGCCAGTCAAGACAATGGGACAGAAAACTTTCAATTTCGTCAAACCCCATAACAATACATTGCGATACAACGAAACAACGACAGCCCGACTTTGCAAGCGACGTGATCTCATCGAAAGACGCATCTGGATTTTGTTTTTGGCCGACTGCGGGCGGGATCGACGCCGACGATGCCTCCGCGAGGGGCCAATCTGACGGGCAACACCCTGAGCCCATTAAATACCAACACGACAGCCACTCACAACAACAGCTCTGGTCGCCGTCCATCGCTGCTCTCGCCCGTCGAGTACGATGCCGACGCCGTCTCGATCCGCAGCGACCAAGACAGCGACAGCGATGACGACCAGCTGCAGCAGCGGGCGCGCAACAGCCGCGAGCTGCGGGCGCACGATCGGATGGTGTTTCTCGAGGAGGACGAGGCCGACCAGCTGGTGCTGAATGCACGGCGGGAGCAGGACCGCGGACGACGGCGGGGATCGAACTTGGCTTTGGCCAACCCGCTCAAGTTTCTGGGCATCCGGCGGTACAGCGACGGCAGCCGATCGCGAAGTCCCGATCCGACGCCGCGATCGACGATAACCAATGCGACAACACTGCGGGCATCGACATCCACCGACCGTTTTAGCCGGGGCGGAAAGAAGGGCGGAGTGTCAAAATCTGAGAAGCGACGGCAACGGCGGCAACGGCGGAAAGACAAGAAGAAACGGCTGCTCTCACAAGCGCGCGATGGCGAGGACGCGGAGCTCATGTTTGAGATGGAAGAGGGCGGCATGAAGGAAGGCAGTTCGACGGGCGACAGCAGCGACCGCAGCGACCGCAGCGATCGCGGCGACCGCGACGACAGCGATGACGCGGACCGCCGCGGGCTGGCTGGGCTGGCCGAGCTCAAGGGCCGGCGCAAGCGGCGCAGCTGGGGCCGCTGGCTGTTGCTGCACACGATGATTGCGGTAGCGTTTTCCCTGCTGGTGCTGGGCGCGTGGAAGATGACGCTGGTCAAGAAGGCCGAGCATGCACAGCAGCAGGAGGCCCTCAAAGGCGACAAGCCCGCCAAGGCCCGAACGCTGGTCACCAACGGCACGGCGCTGTTCGCGCCGACGACGCTCCTCATCAGCCTCGACGGCTTCCGGGCGGACTTTCTGAACCGCGGACTGACGCCACGGCTCAGCTCGTTTGTGCGCGAGGGCGTGTCGCCGCTGTACATGCTGCCGTCGTTTCCGAGCGTGACGTTTCCCAACCACTACACGCTGGCAACGGGCCTGTACCCGGAGTGCCATGGCGTGGTGGGAAACACGTTCTGGGATCCCGAATTCAAGGCCGACTTCCACTACACGGACCCGGCACGCAGCTTGGACCCCAGGTGGTGGGGTGGCGAGCCGTTCTGGGTGACGGCGGAGCGGCAGCGCGCGCGCACGGCGGTGCACATGTGGCCCGGCAGCGAGGCGCACATTCTGGGACTGGAGCCGTCGTACGTGGACAAGTACAATGGCGACGAAAAGCTCTCGAAAAAGGTGGTCCGCATTCTTGAGTTTCTGGACAAGCCGGGACTGGAGACGGCGGCCGCCGACGACGTGGACGGAATGAAGGTACCAAACCTGCGGCCGCAGCTCATTGCGGCGTACGTGCCCAATGTGGACGCAGACGGGCACCGGTACGGGCCCAACAGCACCGAGATCCGCGGGACGATTGCGGCGGTGGACTCGATGCTCAACGACATTTTTGCAGGCCTGGAGGCGCGCAACCTGACGCACATTGTCAACGTGATTGTCGTGTCGGACCACGGCATGGCGACGACGGACGCGTCGCGGCTGATGCAGCTCGAGGACCTCGTGGACATGGACCGGGTCCAGCACGTGGACGGGTGGCCGCTGGTCGGGCTGCGGCCCAAGGATGACAGCCCCGAGGAGCTGGAGGCGCTGTACCAGTCGGTGCTGAACCGCACAGCGGACAACCCGAACCTGGAGGTGTACCTGCGGGACGTCAACATGCCGGCGCGGTACCACTTCTCGCACAACCCGCGGATCGCGCCGCTTTGGCTGGTGCCCAAGGCGGGGTGGAATATTGTGCAAAAGGCCGAGTTCAACGTGGCTGAGGGCCTGGCCAACAACCTGGTGTACCATCCGCGGGGGCTGCACGGCTACGACCACGAGCACCCGCTGATGCGGGCGATTTTTGTGGCGCGCGGGCCGGCGTTCCCGCATGCACCGAACAGCAAGCTGGAGCCGTTTCAAAACATTGAGGTGTACAACATGCTCTGTGACTCGATCGGGATCGAGCCGGCGATCAACAACGGCACGCTGCATCTGCCGCTAAAGCCGGTGGGACTGCACGACGCGCCGCCTGCGGAGCCGGAGGATCCTGTGCCGGCGTACACCAAGGAGACGAGTGCGTTGGAGGTGGCGACGAACCCAAAGACGGCGCCGGGGCCCATTCCGACGCAGCCCACGAAAGCAGCGACTGTGGGCGTCGATCCCGTCGACAAGACGACTACGAAAAAACCCACGCCATCAACTGGGTTGCCCTCGGCGTCGGCCACCGTGAGTCAGCCTTCCAGTTCGCCGGCTCCTGTTGACGGTGACAACAACAGCGACAAAAACCCGCTCAACAAGGTGGCCGAGGCGGCGGCGGACCTGTGGGGTTGGATCACAGACAAGATTGGCGAGGCCTGGAGCAAGATCAAGGGCCACGGTGGTGATGCTGATGACAAAGACGGCCGCAACAACGCGGCAGGCGGCAGAAAAGAGTAGGCCACCTGAAGGAAATGTCGACGTCGTTGCTGTTGAGGTTGGCCTCGTTACGATGTTATTCTTTGCTGTCTTGCTGCCCATTGGCCTTGATTCCCCAAGATTGCCTCTACTAATTGGTTTATTCTTGTCGTTTTTTTCCAATATTTTGTTGCATTTACTTTTAGGCGATGTGGTTTGCTTACTTCAGCGATTGCAGCGGGCGTGTTGATTTGATTTGGTTTTCTTTTTTTCTTTTTTTTTCTAATAATGTTACCATTATTTCCAAGTATTTTCTTACTGCAGCAACAAATTTGTACATTTCCGACTCTCGGGTCACGGGTCACTTTCCCATGGTGATGCAAACGTCTCTGCCTATTTCATTTCTGTTTGCTCTTTGCAATACCCATATACTGGCGAAACGCCTTGGTCTAGGGTCGCCGCTTTGGGCCCTTTTCGAATATTCGGCCAGCGTCATGACAACAACAGCACTGCAAGCAGCGATCTAGGCCAGTCTCAAGGCGGCCCAAATGAGGTCTCATTGACTAAGCCGCTGGCAACACTCAAGTTAACAAAGCCTTGCAGTATGCCTCAAAAGGCCTTTTTTTGTTCGCTCATTGCCTCCACGGCTCCCTTCTTTTCCAGCGCCTTTCGTCCTCAAAGTTCTCAACAAAGCCCAGTCTTCTGAGCCGTCCTACGGCCAGAGCGAAGGTGTTGGTGACTGCGCCCTGCTTTTCGATGCTGTGCCGCCAGCTACAGCATTCGTTTTCTGAAACCAACAGACAGCGCCTGGGTTGGGGCCCGAGCCGCAAACAAGACAAAGAGCAAAGGAAAAGGAGAGAAAGAAAACGAAGAGGTGCGTTCCACTAAATATGGGCATGAAGAGAGACGAAGGTAACCATGTAGGGCGCGATAAAGAAAACAACCATGCGCAAGCCACACGGTCATTCCGACAGGGAGTCGCTTTTCAAGGAGGGGTCCAGCTTCAACACATGACGTTATCGGCTGTCGTTTTTGTTTTGCTCTTTATCCTCGCACCATTTTCCTTTGCCGGATAAGAGAAAGAGGGCGCCAGGCGCGCAAGGCGACCAACCATGTGCCATGTTTGGAACAGTGGGCGGCCAAGCGCGGGTGGCGCTGCCGGTGCGACCTGTGGCGATGCAGCAGGGGTCAAGTCAAGATGGGAGCAGATCGCAGGGGACAGCACGTCACAGTGCACAAAACTGCCGGGGAACGACGAATAGCGTACGTCGCGGCTCAGAAAAGGCTCGTCGGGTCTTTTTGCCCTTTGGCCAGACAGTTGACCACTGGCCTGCAATACCAGCCAACGGCTGCCATAGTCATTGGTCATGTCGTTTGACCTGTCTTGCGGACTCCATATTTATAGGAGGGTGGCCTGCGCCTGTCATTCGTCCCCTGTCGCCTTTTTTGCGCAGCCTTGGCTCTGGATCTCTTTGACAGTTGAGCATCAGATGTATCGGGATCGTGCGCTTTCGATCAAAGCGACAAGGGAATGGATCAAAGAGACGACAGGCGCGAGTAAGGCGAGGGGGCCAGGACGGGCAAGAACTGTCAAAGAGCGACAAAAAAGGCGACGGAAAGAAGTTGCAGACGAAGAATATAAATATCGTCTGCCGCTCGTCGTTCTTTGTGGATTTCTTTATTTTGGAATCTTCATCCACGGACGAAATTTACAAGACAAAAAAAAAAGACACACAAACACACACACTTGACATACTCTTCCTTTTGTTATTTCCTCGATTGACTTTCTTCTATTCACCTTCGTTATAACTGCTACAGCACGTCTGTCTTTACTCCGTTCTCTTTTGAGGACAAACACACGTCTCTTTCACTCGCCGCTGCGATCGATCTATCAGACAATATACCACAAACACAACAAACACAAGAAGAGAAACAACAACCAAGAAACAAAAAAATCACAAAAAACAACACAGAACAACATCACAACACACAGAATAGCAAGCCTTCCTTCACCACGGCCACCATGTGCTACAGCGGCTGCTACTACTACCCCTGCATCCACACCCCGGGTGCCTACTCATACGGCTCCGGTTCGACGTGGTCGACGTCCGGTTACGCTGGCTCCAGCTCCACTTCGTCCACGTCCACCGGTTATCCCACCATCGCCGACGAAGAGAGCCTCCGCTGGCTTCGCAACCGCCGCCGCAGCCGCCGCACGGACGACGAAGTCTACAATGTGAGCGTGCGGTACCGTGGCGGCAGCCGCAGTGGACGAAGCAGAAGCCGGTCTCTCTTGGACTCTCCCAGCATGTCGCCAGGCGTCTTGATGCCGCCGACGTACTATGCCTTTGTACCGGCCAGCAGCCGGCGCCGTCTGCGGGTGTCCGTCTACGAATGAGGCGCGACGACAGAGATGGAGACTTGATCTTTCTCGTCTGCTTTTCTTTTGTCGACACATCCGACTTCGACACGTTCTTTGATTCCCTTTACTTTTGTTGGATTTTTTTGTTTATTCTTTGGTTTGAGATTTTGTCTTTGTCTGATTTTATTTTTCACACGTACCATTTTCAACATTTTCGTTGAGTTTTGGTATGTGTTTTTTCCCCCTGCATTATTCCCACTTTCGTTTCACACACCATTGGACTTTACCACCAGATTGTCATCTCCAACAACGCCTTTCATTTCATTCTTTGGTCAACAGTCCATCTTATGTCTTAATGGACCTATTTCATTTTGACTTGTTTTGTTTCGCTTGGTTTCACCCACTCCTGATCATCATCACCACGTTTCCCTTTGTCTTGTTTACACTGGCAGACGATCTGCGCTTGCTAACGCTTGTTTCTGTTTTCATTCCTTTTTTATCCATGGTTTGGCATCACTTCAGATTGCACGAGAGAAAGATTGTTTGGGGTTCGCATCGACGGGACTCTCGTTTTTGGAGTCCATCGCCGTGTTGCTTGTATTTGTATTGAGGTTTTGGCTATTGGACTGTTTCTTTGCCCAGTCGTAGCCGAGTAGCTTAGCTAGATATATGAATCAAACACCCCAAAAAAATGAAATAATATAAAGACAAAATGTGAAACGCCATTCCCTGCCATTAGGGAGCCTTGCATGGGGATCATTGTTTGTCCTCCATGTGAAATCCAAAATAAACACCCTGAAACGTATTTCGTTTCCCTTTGCCCAAGTACCAATAAACAATGAAAAAAATCTGGATATCAAAAAGATGGGGGTATCATGACAAAAGAAATAAGTGCCCAGTGGGCAGAGGTGAGTGAGACGAGACAGTGGAAGAAGAAAGGAAATATGAGAGAATGTCGTCGATGCGTAGGAGAGACGTCATATGTTATGGCATAGATTTGAGTCTCGACGGCCGAGTGACTCAATCGTCAAAAGCGCTAAAGACAATGCCGCGGCGCTTCCAGTCGCCGCGCTTAAAGTAGCGCTCCGACTCGGACTCGGCCGTATGCGTGCGCGGCGTCACGGGCGAGGCGGGCTCGCTCGTGGGCAGAGCAGGCATCGGCGGCGTGGACGGCCGGTCCAGGACACCGCTGTCGCCCAGGAGCTGCAGGTCGCGCATGGTATGCTGGAGGTTGGCCTCGGACTGGTGCGCACGGAGGCGGTGGTGGCGCGGCGGAGGCGCCGACAGGCCCTGGACCTCGAAGCCCTCGTCGTCAGCGGCCGACGAGGCCAGGTGGATGTCGGCAATGGTCTGGCGGACGGCGCGGCGACGAGACGCGGTAGAGGGGCGGGCCGCGGACGCATCAAAGCCAAAATCGAAGCCGTGGGGCCCTCTGGTGGTGGCCGCCAGTGCATCAGCATCATCCTCGTAGTAGAATGAGCGGCCGGCGTCGTAGTACTGGGGCGAGGCGTTGACCACGGGCATGGGCATGGGCATGGGCGTGGGCATGGGCATGCAGGGCACGGGGTGCAGCCGCAGAGAATCCCACTCCAGGCCGGCGTTGCGGGAGGATGTCGTCGACGAGGTGGTCGAGGCGTTGGAGGACCAGGAGCTGGAGGCGCGGGAGGCGTGGCTGCAGGTGCTGACCTGGCGGTAGTGGATGTGGTCGTCGTGGGGGTGGTCGACCTCGGCGATGGGGATGCCGCCGGTGCGTGGCCGCTGGGTGGGCGGCATGGGCATGGGGATGGGCATGGAGACGGTCATGGGGACGGTCATGGGCTCGACCGAGGCGGATGTAGAGAAGAGGCGAGGCGAGGAGATCTGGGTCGGCGAAGGTGGCATCTGCGGAAGGGTCTCGTCGTCGCTGGAATGGGAGTTGCTGTGGTTGTGCAGACGGCGCAGACTCCGTGCGCGATGCAGGAGTTTCTGGCTTGTGGCGAGCATTGTGCCGGCGAGGAAGAAACACCGTATGTGTGGATGTGGTGGAGTGGAGGAGTATGATGTCCTCGAGGCAGTGTGTGGTGGTGGGTGATGTTGAAAGAGGATGTTGTTCTTGAGAAGAGACAAGGACGAAGAGGAAGGAAAAGGATGACAGGGAAGAGGGGGGATGCGGCTGCCTTTGTATAGAAATGCGTTGGATGAGACGGAAGGCGCGGAGGAGGAGAGGTGAGAAGGGAAGGCTCCGCATTAAGAAGGCACCCGCATTCCAGATGCAAGATGCTGGTCGTGCTTGCCTGGGCAGGCCGTGTAAGTGGTTTCCATGTCTTGGTCCTGGCTGAAGTGCAGGTGTGCTAGCGCGTGAATGGGTGTGTGTAAGTGGGAGTGATGAGCAGGCACGCTAGCGAGCTAGCGGTGTTAGTGTGGCAGACTGGTCGGAGATCCAAGGCAAGAGCAAAGGACTGTAGCTGAGATGTACCAAGTATCATTGTACCGTCTTTCACGCTTTTCGTTTCTTGTCTCTGGTGCCCCATTGTGCCGACGGTGCAAAATACATGCCGCATGGCACCAGGCTATGATACATCTAGGCCATCCATAGCCCACTCATCCATGCCCAGACTCCTCTGGACGGCGTAACAATGACGGCGGAAAGAGGGGACGAGAGGAGGCAAGAACGACCAGCGAGGTGCCCGTCGCCTGCCTT